AAAGGAGGTTTTTCAAATCCTTGCATTTTCTCACAAATGGTTTCATCTGGCTATTCTTAGCCATTTTATCTTTACTATAATTTCTGATACAACTCTTACTGAAACTCCTTCCTAAATATAATTGCCTAATTATAGCTCTTACCCACTCAGTTGCAATTAACTTCTGCTGTCAGCTCAAAGTTAATGAAACCTGCAGGACAGTGCCCACCTCTCTCTCCCCTGTGCTGTGGTTATAACTAATATCTTTACTGTGTTGTTGCTTTTGCACCTTTCTTATATAGATTGCTTCCTTATCTGTCACCCAGACCACAAATTTATAGCTGTTAGGTTGGCCAGAATCACCTTTCTGGTGTTGTGTACTATTGGGTTGGGATTGTAAATCATGATGTCCTGACCAATGGATGGGCATATGGCCAAAGTGGACTTGCTTCAGGACTTTTAATGTTGAGCTGAGGCAAAATTAAAAACAAAAAAAATGAACACATACACACACACACACAACAGAACCAGCAGGAGTGTCCTAAACACCAAGTGGTTTTAGCCACTGAGATCTATTCCTGCTGGTTCTCAGTTGAGTTTTCAGCCTTCCTTTCAGTCCTTTGAGCCTTCAGATCCTTCTAATAAGTTACCCTGTTGGTTACTTTGCAACCCCAAACTCCAAGTGATCCAGGAGGCTAGAGTAGGCTGTACAGATAAAGAAGGGGCTATACTTGGTGGAGAAAGGGCAGGAGGCCTGACCCATGCTTCAGTCAGATCAGCCACACACAGTTATCCACCCTGCCAACTTTATTTGAAGAAGATTTGAAATCATTGTATTGCTACAAAGGTGTGAGATCATTACACTCATGATTGCTAAGGTTCCAGAGAATTTTAAAGACAAATGGAAGGATGAGAACTACAGCAGGACATATGCCTGAATAAAAAAGAAAATGAGAAACTTGAGGCAGCTTTCAAAATTCATGGAGTATCAAAGAGAACAGAGAAATCAGGATATATTTCAATGTGAGAAGCCTCAATGCCTAAAGAGTGAGGACTGAGCAGTAAAGGCAAATAATTAGAGGTATGAATGGGGCGCCTGGGTGGCTCAGTCAGTTAAGCGTCTGCCTTCAGCTCAGGTCACGATCTCAGGGTCCTGGGACCTAGTTCCGCCTCTGGCTCCCTGCTCAGCAGGGAATCTGCTTTTCCCTCTCCCTCTGCCTCCCCACCACCATTCACCATCCGTATGTTCTCTCTCTCCCTCTCTCTCTCTCTTCCCAAATAAATAAATAAAATCTTAAAAAAAAAAATAATAAGAGGTATGAAGAAAGGGTTAGGAAGTCCTTATTAAAGATGCATAGGAAACGTGGGATCATTACTTCAAAGTCCCTGAGAGAAATACGCAGCAAAGACAGAACACACTAGGCGTAGGAGAACTTCCACAGAGAAACTGATTTAACTAAAAATGAAAGCTAAAACTCTCATACTCGATTTCTCAGCTTTTCCAGAAACTAGAGCATGGGCACATGCTTTAGTTCAACTAATCAGACACACAAACATAGAAACACAATCCAAGGACACAAAGGAACTGGCACTGTGGAGAATTTTTCCCAGAGATGGGTCTGTGGCACAGCTGTTTCCAATGACAGCACTGTCAATATGGCCAGTGGTGGGTGCAACGTACAGAATCAACCAAAGAATCTAGGGTTCAGCTTGGGGGCTAGTGACATCTTCAACAAATTGGTCGTGGAGTAATTTCAGCCATAGTTCTGGCTACATGGCTTCCCTCTGCTTCTGCCTATTTCCTGAGCTTGATTCTCCAGCTTTCACAAGGATTATTTGGTTTGTCCAATAGCAACTAATCCCTAAGGAAAAGATGGGAAAATCAAGTATTTTCTATCTGGTCTAATTGGTGCTGAAAAAATAAAACTGGCTAATATTAAGGGATGGGATTTGGGCAGCCTATGGCTTGCAATGACTAAATAAGTTAATCAAATTATCACCTGTGGGCACTCTGGAATAATATGCCTACTAATGGCAAGGCTTTGGAGGACCATGTAGCCTCCATTGCAATGGAAGTTCTTTTTTTTTTTTTTTTTTAAGATTTTATTTATTTATTTGACAGAAAGAGATAGCGAGAGCAGGAACACAAGCAGGGGGAGTGGAGAGGGAGAAGCAGGCTTCCTGCTGAGCAGGGAGCCCGATGTGGGGCTAGATCCCAGGACCCTGGGATCATGACTTGAGCCGAAGGCAGACGCTTAACGGCTGAGCCACCCAGGAGCCCCTGCAATGGAAGTTCTTAATAATCAGATGAACAAAATGATTCTGGATGTCAGTCATCCTTCTTCCTAACTACCCACAAAGTTTGTTCACTTGGGCCCATGAACAAAGATTCTTAGTCTTGGATTACTCATCAACAACAGAGTACTAGTTACATGACAACATGGTAATGATCCTTATGCTGCAGGGTAGTTATCAAGATAAGAACAGCATATTAAAAAGATCTAGCATTGAGCCTGATTATCAATACATTTGAATGCTAAGAAATAGGAGCTATTGCTATTAATGCAGTGAAAAGTAGAGAGGGTTGAAAATTCTACCACTCACAGATGTGGCTTAATAAATCATACATTTTGATGAAGCCACAGTGACCACTATTACGTGACTTCCACTTATTTCAGAAGCCAAAGAGCAAGAAAGCTTAAATAACCATCCAAAGGAGAAGAGGGGGATTTTGGGGAGGTCCTCCTTTCAACCATGACTTGGAAGGTAAGAATCTCCATGTTTTACTCTACAGCATCGTTCCTCTGTAGGGACGTGAGACTCCTTCACTCTTCAACATGCATGTATTTATTTTCCCATGAAATTAAAATATTTAAATCAGAGCCTGTCTTTTCATTCTTTTAGTGCTCTAGTATATTAAAGAGCTCAATATATGAACTTATCTTTCACATTTTCACGAAAAGAAAACTTTTATGTTTAATTTTATGTATATACATATATAACAGGTTTCTGATGAGGCTCACTCAAATATTTACTTTAACTTTGGAAAAATATTGATTTTAAGCACTTAACTTATAATTTATAGTTAGCCTTATAGAACATATGATAATTAAGGAAACATTAAAAAACATACAAATGGCTTTGAATGTTTAAACTGTACAATAATTTCCATCCTCATACTACCACATATTATTCTAATTTTCAAATGATTTTGTTTCTTTTTTTTACAATTGCAAATTCAGAGAAGTACAAGTGAGCAAAGAAAATTAGGCCATATTACTCTACCTGAATAATCTCTGTTAATATATTCAGTAGCACATGGGGAAGATTAGAAATTTTCAATCCATTTGGAAAGGTACAAAATAAAAAGTGAAAGCGTCCCTTTCACAGGAATGCCATCCTGAAAAAAACGAAAAAGCTTAAATTTACATGTATCTACAAGGGATCATACGCACTATATGCACCATAATTCACCTTGCTTTTTTTTTTTTAAAGATTTTATTTATTTATTTGACAGAGAGACACACAGTGAGAGAGGGAACACAAGCAGGAGGAGTGGAAGAGGGAGAAGCAGGCTTCCCCGCTGAGCAGGGAGCCCGATGTGGGGCTCGATCCCAGGACCCTGGGATCATGACCTGAGCTGAAGGCAGACGCTTAACGACTGAGCCACTCAGGCTCCCCTAATTCACCTTGCTTTTTTCACAGATTATATTTTGGAATTATTTCCACATTAGCATTTAAATTTCCTTCACAGCAGATAAATTGCATAGCATAGTACTGAGTGAACAGACCATAATTTATTTATTCAGTACTTTACTGATGGACACTGATTGTTTCCAGTTTCTCTTTCTCTTGCTCCCCTCCCTCCCTCCTCTTTATTTTCCCTCAGTAGCACTTTACAATTTTCTTCAACATTTATTGAATTCACAGGGCCTTTAGGGTCTTTTCTTTTTGCTAATTGAGCCATTTCTTCTTTATTTGCCAGAATTGGGATAAGTGATTTTGTCAGGTATATATATGTAATACACACACAAACACACACACACATACACACACATACATGTATATGTGTCTATCTATACATACACATATGGCATAAGGCAGATTAAGGACCAAAGCTAAATGGTTAGTGTTTCAGAAAAATACTAAACAAGTTCAGATATTTTACTCTGATCCAAATTTTAAAAAGTGAGAGAAGAAATTTAAAAATAACCATATTTGTTATCTAGACCCTCCTGAGAATTTATTTTTCATCTTCTTACTCACTTCCTCATCTGTTACTCTACAACTACACTGGCTTTGGCCAATTCGTGGAACACCCGAGTTTCTCCTTGTCTTTGGACCTTTGCATTTACACTTTCTCCTACCTGGGAATGATTTCACCTTATGTTTCAGATTTTCCTTCAAATCTCAGGTTAGATGTCAACTCCTTACCAGACCTTCCTACCAGACCTTCCTCCTCCCACTATTCTCTTTCAGTGCATTTCAGCACCCTCCGAGCGCTCATCACAATCTTGTTAACATTTAACTCCTTTTTCTCAGACATATAATGTAGATCCCCCAATACCTACCTGAGTACCTAGCATGCAATATGCTTCAGTAAATACTTAAAAAACAAGAGAATTCAGGTAAAGTGGATTTAATTACTGTAGAACTAACTTTTACTGAATTTATATGCCAGGAACAGGTGTCAGTGTATGTTACTCATGCTTAGCTAGACTTTTCATTGATTCAGGATTCCGAAATCCTTTTAATCCCATAAATCTTAATACCCAAACTTTAAATATAATTTAAATTTCAGACCATTTTGAGAAACCTCCCGCCAGTCTCCCCTTCCCACCCTAAGCATCCACCCGCTTACCCCTAACTTCCCCAACCGCCCCGCCCTTCCAGCAGCCAGGCTGAGCTAGGCGGTGCGCACAGAGCCTTCCGCGACCCGGGGCGCATGCGCGGCAGACGGTGCACATGCGCAGTACTCGCGCAGCTGGCGTGCGTCCCAGCCTAAGGCTGAGGTGGCCGCCACGGAAGGGGGGGGCGGGGCCTGCGACGCTATGGCCGAGGGTGGCGGGGAGGTAGTGGCAGTACCCGCGTCCGGGGCTGCCAACGGCCTCAGCAATGGGGCAGGCGGCGTCCCGGCGCAGACCAGTAACCCGCTGTCGCGGAAGCTGAATAAGATCCTGGAGACGCGGCTGGACAACGACAAGGTAACCAGAGCTGGCAGGGCCGGGGTCCCGCGTCGCCCGCCGAGCTGAGGCTGGCCGGGGGCGGCGTCTGTTCGGCACCCACTCCCTCATCCCTTCGTCCCTCCGTGGAGGGGACCGCAGACCCGCGGTCTTCCTTGTCTTCCGCGACCTCTTGTCTTCAATTGACAAGAGAATCACTTAAGAGAATCTTAAGTGCCGGTAAGAAGGGGGAGGCCGAGGAATCCCTGGAAAAGCGAAGAGGTGTCTTGGGTGTCCCCTCCCTTTGAAAAACCTGTTCCTGGAAGGCTCTCGCTCCGGGAGGCAAACGGTGGAGTCTCCTACCCGGGAGGTGTTCGGGGGTCCGAACAGGGGGAGAGGAGAGCCCAGGGCAGGATTAGAAACCCGGGGCGCCTGGGTGGCTCGGTCGTTAAGCATCTGCCTTCGGCTCAGGTCATGATCCCAGAGTCCTGGGATCGAGCCCCACATCGGGCTCTCTGCTCAGCGGGAGGCCTGCTTCTCCCTCTGCCACTCCCCCTACTTGTGTTCCCTCTCTCGCTGTGTCTCTCTCTGTCAAATAAATAAATAAAAAATCTAAAAAAAAAAAAAAAAGAAAAGAAACCCGGGGCGCCTGGGTGGCTCAGGTGGTTAAGCGACTGCCGTCGGCTCAGGTCATGATCCTGGAGTCCCGGGATCGAGTCCCGCATCGGGCTCCCTGCTCGGCGGGGGGTCTGCTTCTCCCTCTGACCCTCCCCCTCTCATGTACTCCCTCTCTCTCATTCTCTCTCTCTCAAATAAAAATAAATAAAATCTTAAAAAAAAAAAAAAAGAAAAGAAACCCATGCAAGAGTAAATTACAAGACTAGGCAGCGTCAATCGGGGTGAGGAGGAACTGGAGAACCGGGGTAGGCATAATTGAGCATTTCCACTGACGGGTGAGAACGACTGAAGTAATTTGCAACGCGGAAGAACTACCTGCTCAGGGCTCAGATGAAATACTATGTACTACTAGTTTTTGTTGTTAGCTAAGCTCCGCCTGTGATATGTGGGCTCATGCTGTGTTTCTTCACAAGATAAACCGTCCACATCCTCTCCAAGTACCTCCTGAAACTCACCCATCCAGCTTCTCTCGTAGCTGGTTGTCTCTTCTGTATCATTGAGTCTTTAGGTAAATTGGTCATGCCATAAAGAAAAAATATATGTAGAAGTGAGAGAACTTTATAGATAGATTTGTAGGTAACCGAAAATAAGCTGTCAATAAGAATTTGTGTATAAAAAAACAACATAATATAGTAAGACGGGCTCTGGGGCCGCCTATTTATTAGATATAACCATCAAACTGAAGCATTATGATTTGAGTAAGCCCCTTAATTTCTCTAAGCTTATTTTTCATCATTTCTAAGTTGAGAATACTGCTGGTAACTTTCTCAGGGTTGTTGTGAGGATTCAATTGACAAGAGAATCTTAAGTGCTCAGCAGAGTGCCCAGCACTTACCATTTCTTATTAAATGTTAATTTTATTATACAGCTTATTGTTTAATGTGTCTAATACTGACACCTATTATCTCATTTAATACAGCTGCTGTGATGTAGATAACATTATCTCCTTTTTACTCAAGAGAAAAATAACGTATTGAAAGAGTGTAACAAGGTTAAATCATGTAACCAATAACTGGTGTTTTTGGTTATTGGTTATATCATGTAACCAATTGGTTATACCAAATTGGTTAAATACCAATTGGTTAAACCAAAATGGTTATATCATGTAATAATTGGTTAAATCATGTAACCAATAAAGCTGTAATTTGCAGCTGTCTCTGTGATTTTGTTCATTCATCGCTTTCGGACTACTTCTTTGAGCCAGGCCTAGGACATTTCAAGGTTATAGTCAAAAGAAATGGTTTCATTTTATGGTTTTTCTTTTTTTTGTACATAAATCTTTGTAATGCTTTCTTAAATATTAAGTTGAATTTAAATAGCTTTACTATTTTTTTTGTCAGTCCAGCCAATATTGCAAAATAACATTTTAACTGAAACACAGAAGGGTAAGCCCATTACAATATATGTTAGTTCAGGTGTAGGAATTTATATTTGGAGTTAGATATTCTGGGCTTGGTCTTCTCCCTTCTCTCCTCTATGCATATTCTCTCTGTAGGAGAACTCTCACTTTCATGGTTTTAAATAACAAAAAGGGTGATGATTCTCAAATTTATAACCCTGTTCTTGACATCTCTACTGAGCTCCAGATTTGTATAGTCTGTTGCTTACATGACACTTCTAATTAGTTACCTGATCAACATCATAAAAACTTAACATAGCCAGACTCTTGGTTTTTCTCCAAACTGGTTCTGCTTTCTACTGTTAGTAAAGAACATCACTTACCCAGACAAGCAAAAAGTGTATAAATAATTTTTGATTCCTGTTATTTTTTTCACTTCTTACATTCAGTCCATTAACGAATCCTCTCGGCTCTACCTTGAAAAAAGTTGTTTTGGAATATCTCCTTCTTTTCACCTGCAGTGCTACTTTCTTGTTCATTTTAGTTTCTTCCTAATTGCTTCCTTTCTTGCCTTCCCCCCTCCCCCCCCGATCTGCTCTCCTCACAAAGTTAGAATAAACTTTTAAACATATAAAGCACATTACATTACTCCTTTCCCTAAACCTCTAGTAGTGTCCCACAGCTTCAGTCATACTGGCCTTTCTGCTGCTTTAGGGTCTTTGTACTCACAGCTTTTTCTGCCTGTGAACTGTTTTGTCCCCATGGATGCCTTTCCTATTTACTTAGGCCTCAGTTCAAAAGTCACCTCAGAGAGGCCTTCTCTAAGTTCTGCTCCCAGTTACTCAGTTCCTAGCCTGGAGGCTACAGGTGGTACTTCTTTCTTATATATATCCTTCCAGAGATAGTTTACACATTCATCAGGAAGTATGCACGTATATAGTCCTTTTTCTTTTTTAACAGTTGGTATTAGAACTGTTTGTGTACCTTGCTATTTCACTTACTGTATCTTGAAGTTTGTATTATATAAGTACATAAAGAATTTTCATCTTTGCTAAAATGGATATATCATAATTTCTTTAACCAGTTCACTTTAGATGGACATTAAGGGTATTTGCAGTCTTTAAAATTACAAACAATTTTGCAGTGATGTATACATGCCGCAATATAAAAGTAAGTAGATCCTTAACAGTGTTTTGGAAATAAGTTTACTATTCAGTAATGTGAAGATCACCTGGTATTTTTTGCTTATTTAATGGAAATATTTGAAAATAATTTCATTAAAATTTGGCTTGAGATTAGGAAAACATTTGAAAATTGGCCCCAGTAATTGTCTTCTATTATCAATTGTGTAGGAGATGTTGGAAGCTCTCAAGGCACTTTCAACCTTTTTTGTTGAAAACAGTTTACGGACTCGAAGAAATTTACGTGGAGATATTGAACGCAGAAGTTTGGCCATCAATGAAGAATTTGTCAGCATTTTCAAGGAGGTGAAGGAAGTATGTAAATTCTTTTCATTTAACATTTATTGAGAACTTATTGTATGCCTAACTCTGTGCTAAGTATTTTTATGAATTGGGTTGATATGTTTGCTGTTCACATACCATGTTCAAATAGAAAACTTAACTACTTACTCCAGAAGCATCAGGTCCTTCAGTTAGTGTGATTTTGGAATCTGTGACCTCCACTAATGCTGCTTCTTAGAAAGTTGTAACATTTGTTCTAGGATATTCTCTTAGAAATTTTTGCTTTTCTAACAACAAAAACAAGAAAAAACATTTCTTTAAATGATTTTCCAGTGGAAATTTTTCCTCACTGAATAAACCTCCTTTGGATAATCACTTCTCCATTGAAGATTAATTAGGATTGAGTTACTTTAGCACATCATAAATTAGGAAATTTTCAGATTAATTAAAATCAGTTACTTCTGGCATAAGTAATAATTTATCATACTTGAGTAAGCAGACTACTCACTGTAGGGTAAAAATGAATTTTATTATGTTATATTTTACTTATGCAATATTTTGTTAATTTTATTAATATCACATTCTGTATGAGTTGTATGAAAGTGTTATATATAGTTTCAGTGAATAATTAATAAACAGATGATATTTAATAGTTTAGAAAGATTTCATTGACTGAAGGTTGGAAGGACAGTTTGGTAGTGTTTGTAAGAATAGAAAGGGTATCCATGAGCACATCCAGATTGTGGTCCTAAATACCGTTTCCCACTGAAAGGAACAATCTTACAAATATCAGAAAGCAGGGAAGCTATCTGAGACCCTTGGGAAAGTGACAGAAGAACTTTGGAGCTAACTAGATGAGGCTTCTCTTGTCCAGAGATAGGATGATTAGAGCATCAGTAAGAATAACTCAGTGGACTAAAACATACCAAACATGTTTAAACCCACAAATTCATACTAATCTAAAAACCGAACAGAACCCTCATTGGTTATATTTCGTGGATATAAGGGAACTAACTTATTTTGAAAACTGCTAAATAAAAGGAAAGAGTCAAGCGTTTATCCTGTCTTTTGTTCCATTTACATACAGTTGTTGAGGGGAGGCTTCTCTTTATAGCTTTATTCTAATAAATGAAGAAGGAATGATAGAAGATGAGAAGATTTTGCCACCACTGTTAAATTTATGGATCTAGTTCAAGGTTTCTCAACTTGGCACTATTTTACATTTTGGGTCAGACAAGTGGGGACTATCTTCTGTGTTTGGGATGTTGAACAGCATCCAGGGCTTCTATCCACTAAATACCAGTAGTACCACTTCTTCTTCAGTTGTTCACCCATGAATGTCTACAAACACTGCCAAATGCCCCATCGGGGGACAAAATTGCCCTGGTTGAGCACCACTGGTCTAGCTGTTGGTCATCACTAGCAGCTAACCTCACAAAAAGCTGCTAACATCTTATCTGTCACTCCTAATAAGGGTATACAACACCACCTATGAAAAATTCTTGCCAGAAAATTGAACCAGAATATAATCAAGCTTCTAGATCTAACTGCCTGTTTATAGGAAATACTGGGGTCAGAGAAATATGTTAACACCACAAATATGTAGTCAGCGAATATAAAGTGTAGGGAACTGTAGAGACAAATGAGCTGGTTTCTTCAACAAATAAATTGTAAGAAAAAGAAAAAGAAGTAGGGGGAAGTGAGACTGTATAGATTAAAAAAAGAAATGAGAAATTGCAGCAAGTTGCTATTTGTGAATCTTGGTTCCTGACTTGCAATAATTATTTAAAAATTGGGACAGCTGGGGTGATTGGAACACTGACTAATTTGATATTAAGAGATTATTGTTAAATATTTAGATGTGAAAATGGCATTATGTTTTTTGAATCTTCTTAGAAGCATATACTGATGTTTATGAATGAAATGATAAAATATCATGAACATAAAATAATTCAGTTTGTGAGGGAGGGAGAAAGGAATGGGGGAGAAGTAGAAAGTGGGTAGAGAAATAGATGAAACAAGAGTGGTCGAAGCCGGGTGATATGTATATTGGCATTCATATTATCTCAACTTTTGGATATTTTTGAAAATTTTCCACAATAAAAAGTTTTTAAAAAGTTTATCATACACCAGTTGTATTTCCCAAGCCTATAATTTTATTTAATTGGGGGGCAGGGGAAGACAGTTTGCCCTAAGTTCAAATAAAGACTTTATACGTAATATACAGGCCATTGAATTACAGTCATCAAAACTCTGCATTGAAGTCAGATATTCAGAGATGTAATTTATATTATTCCATATACATGGACCTGACAAATCAGGTCCATTTGGTATATTATTATGGCTAAAGTAAATATTAGGAGTATTCTTGACCTAGCTGGCTGATAATGTCATAGTGCTATTCGTATTAGATTACACAGTGAAATTTAAGGGAATAGTGAGATTAGTTTACTTAGGTTTCTGCTATTGCTAATATTGATATTTTGAAATCATGCTTTTTTTTTACTGTTCACCTCAAAGCAATTTAGGACTTCATTTAATGATTTGATTTATATGCTATCTGTTAAGTATAGTGAGTAACATTTGAAAATATTGGTGCTATGATATTTATAATTCAAAGTACTTCATAGAAAGAAGGGAGAAAAATCTTACTTCTAGAACTTAGATTTATGCTCATATTCTGATAAGTGGTTTTCTAACTGGTTTATCCTCACACTTTGTTTATAGCCTCACTGGGGAGCTTTCTTATCTCTTGCCCTCTGATTGGCTCATTCCTTCATAAGCCGGTCATGTTTCTATTTGAAGGCCTGGGTATTCTGTTGAAAGGGATTGTCTGCTGTCTACCACTGAAACTTCCTTGTGTATGTTTCTGTTGTGTGACACCAAATTGAATTGGGGAAAAAAAAGATAGTAGTGCAGTATAAAGCTAAATATGATTTTGTGAATATGATTTTTCATATAGTATTTTTCATTGATTCAATAAGGACTGGAGAGGATGGTTTGGTAAAAAGTGTAGAGCCTGGGAGACCTGTTGGAAAACTTTTTTTTTTTTTTTATCAGTTCACGTAAGAGATACCAATTGACCTGAACTAAAGTAGTAGTTGTTAGAGTAGTAAAAAAGAAATGGATAAGATACATGCAGTAAGGGGATAAATGATAGGACTTAATGACCAGTTACATTCCCATGTACCTGGAGGGGACTAGAGGAGGAAGTACACAGGGAGAGAATGTAACTGAGATTGCCAGCTTTGTGGCATGATCTACCGTGTGATGACTTTCCACAAGGTAGAGGAGGCACGATTTTTAGTTTATTGGGTTTTCGTATTTGCTTGTTTTTATTAATTAAAAGTTAGAAATAATTCACTATAGAAAAGTTAGATAAGATCAGAAGCCAGAGCAATTGCTTATTATCCTATCACCCAGAAATAACTTTTGTCAGCATTTTATTGCCTTGCTTTTCTTGTGTTCTTCTGTGTGTGTGTGTGTGTGTATATATATATATATATTACTTTTTTTAAAATGGGAGGTATGATATGTATTGTTTCATATACTTTTTAAAAGTCATATATAGACATCTTTTTATGCCTATATATATAAACATATATATATGTACACACATACATATATATAGTCATTGTTAATATATGCACAGATTCCCATTGTGTGGTTGGAAATGTTTCACATTTTCCTTTTGTTTTAGGCAACTCTATGTTGATCTTCTTACATGTATTGTTGCACACTTACCTGGTTCATTTTTAGGATAAATCTTAGTGTTAGTATACCTGAATGAAGAGGTATTAATATTCTTAAAGCATTTGCCATTTCCTATTGTCACCCTCTTTAAAAAGCATTTACTAATTTCTTTATATCTTTTCTAACACTAGATGTTATTCTTTTTAATTTTTCCAATCTTAAATATGGGATCTTTAGTCATGCTTGGGCAAAAAAAATTCATGAGATAAAAATAAGGATTTGGCTAAGAGAAGAGAATTTCTTTAACAATATATGTAATGCTTGCTGTTACTTTTTTTCCTTTTCAGGAACTTGAAAGCATAAATGAAGATGTTCAAGCAATGAGCAGTTGTTGTCAAGATATGAAAAGTCGCCTACAGGTACTGTGTAATGGTTGGATTTTAGTGTAGTTCCTGACTCAAAGTAAGCTTTCAAAAATTGTTAGCTAGATCTACAAGATGTATGGATAGCTAATATATCATGTCCTATAGGAAATGCAAGTATAAATATTATGCTTTTTTTTAACTATAAATGGGTATTTTGGGTGATGGTTTACTGATATTGTTTAGTTAACTCCAGATGCCTTTATATTTTGATCTAGTCAGTGTAGAGCTAACTGTATAGAATTTTGATAAACCTCTCAATCTCATAATATCCCATAAATCTAGCAGGAATTTGTGCCTTAGTAGAAACTCTTAGGAATAAGTCCAGACTAAAGCTATGCGTAACAAAGACCCAGCTTAGTTATGTTTTGTGCTCAGCCTCCCCACAAAAAAAAAAAAATCTCAGGAAAATATCTATAATTCTACATCTGTTTATTAAAGTAGTTTGATAGCAGCAATGTCTGCAGTAGCCAAACTGTGGAAAGAGCCGAGATGCCCTTCAACGGATGAATGGATAAAGAAGATGTGGTTCATATATACAATGGAATATTGCTCAGCCATCAGAAAGGATGAATACCCAACTTTTACATCAACATGGATGGGACTGGGGGAGATTATGCTAAGTGAAATAAGTCAAGCAGAGAAAGTCAATTATCATATGGTTTCACTTATTTGTGGGACATAAGGAATAGCATGGAGGACATTAGGAGAAGGAAGGGGAAAATGAAGGGGGGGGAATCGGGGGGACAGATGAACCATGAGAAACTATGGACTCTGAGAAACAAACAGGGTTTTAGAGGGGAGGGGGGATTGGTTAGCCTGGTGATGGGTATTAAGGAGGGCACGTACTGCGTGGAGTACTGGGTGTTACATGAAAACAATGGATCGTGGATCACCACATCAAAAACCAATGATAGGTTGTATGGTGACTAACATAATAAAATTAAAAAAAAAATAAAAGTAAAGTAGTTTGAAACTTCTAGTTTGATTACAGAGTTAAGATTTAACCTAATTACCCCCATTTATATAATTTTGGAATAGTGAATAGAATAGGGTTCCTCTTAAGAGTCAGTCATGATTATGTTTACTACCTTCACATTTTTATTTAAAACTTATACCTTTAAGATTCTCCTGGAACTATTGACAGCTACAGTGATTCTAGGAAGAATCATTAATCTATGCATATTCCACAGATCAATTCTAAGGTACTTGCATGATCTATCTCTAGAACCAGTTTCCTGTTTCTCTAAGATTTTAGCTTTCCTAGTCTTAACTAAATTTCAGTACTGGCATATCTATTGTTCAACCTTAGGTCCTTATGAATTACATAATACTTAAATAGTCATAAAATCTTTGCTAATTATTGTCATTTTACATTTTTTGCAATATTACTTTTGTTGCTTAGTAATTTTATTTGACTATTCTGTTTCTCTAACTTTCTCTTTATTTCCTTTTCTCATCTTCTGGCTTCCATGATTTAATGCCTTTTCTCAAATTACACTCTATAAGGTTTTCTGTATTATATACACTTGCGTTTCTTTTGTAGTATTATTTTTATATTTGGTATTATGGGATTACTTAAGTTCCTGTTTTAGGGGGCAGAATCTCATGTTTTCTAATTTTTATCTTTAATTGTATTTTTATCCTTTTATCATAGCTATTTGTAGATGTGGAAAGATCAAAGTATTTTTATTCTTCACGCTATTTTCAAAACAGATTATAAGTATTTTAAACCACAAAACATCCTCTTTGGTTTTGTCCTTTGTATTTTCTTTGCACCCACCAGTCCTGTTTTTTCCTTATAATGGCACGAGCCCTTCTTTCTTTTTTTATATCAATTTTATTGAGGAAAAATTGATTTACAGTAATAAACTGCACCCATTTGATGTGTACAAATCAGTGCATTTTGACAATTCTATACCCATGAAACAGCTACCATAATGAAGATGTACATTTTCATCACTTGCAAAAGATTCTCTCATAGCTTTTTAAACTGAATATTTAAAAATATTTTATACTATTTGTTGTTTACATTCAATTTTGATTCTCAGATTAGGGATTAGATCTGTGATTTTGAAAGTTTTGTTCATCCATTGGCACTGATTTATTTGCATGTAGTGTTGTTGGAATTTTAATAGTACCCACTCAGACTGTCAACTCTAGAATAATGTTTTTAATTTATTCATTCATAGAAAAAAGTATTACTTTTTCATTTTAGGATGTTTGTACACAGGACTAATTAAATTAGCTCATATTTTTCAAAATACTTTAGATTTAGGACATTTTAGAGATGATTATTACAAGATACTTTTAGAAATGTAATCAGTTATGAGGAATTCTTAATCTCAGGAAACAAACTGAGAGTTGCTGGAGTGGGGGGTGGGGTGGGAGGGATGGGTGACTGGGTGATAGACACTGGGGAGGGTATGTGCTCTGGTAAGCGCTGTGAATTGTGCAAGACTGTTGAATCTCAGATCTGTACCTCTGAAACAAATAATGCAATATATGTTAAGAAAAAAAAAAGAAATACAATCAGTAATTGTTATATGCTGTGGTTTATCCCTTTGTGGATTTGCTTGGATAAATTACATTTAGAGGCCTGTGTTTATTATTTAATGAGAAATAATCATCCTTAACATTTAAGATAAATTGGAAATTGTTTTAGGATAATGATCTTCACTGGTATTGTTAAACATTATTTTGGAATCATTACCACAATTTATAAATGAAGAGTCAGGAAATATGCATAATTCTTATTGTATACCATTGTAATCAAGTATCATATTTCAGCGATTAATAGATGGTGTTTTTTGTAAGATATACCTTCAATTTAATAATGACTGAGACTAAAAAAAGAAGCTAGTAAGCATTTTTTGATATTAATTTTGTGAAGCATTCTTTTTTCACAAATATTAAAATATAAATATATTTTAGAATTGAGGGAATATTTTAAACAATTATATTAGGCAAGAATAAGTTGGCAGTGGATCTTGAAAGCAAAGCAACATTAGGAAAGATAAAGAAGAATTTGAAGAAATTAGTAGATTTAAAGAGTAATAATTTTAGAATAGTACCATGGGAGCCATTGTGTTCAACTCCATTCCTTAAAAGTTATTGATCTGCTGAATTACCTAGATTCAAATCTATTTTCTTAAAAATATTTACTATTTGGGCGCCTGGGTGGCTCAGTTGGTTAAGCGACTGCCTTCGGCTCGGGTCATGATCCTGGAGTCCCAGGATCGAGTCCCGCATCGGGCTCCCTGCTCGGCGGGGAGCCTGCTTCTCCCTCTGACCCTCCTCCCTCTCATGTTCTCTGTCTCTCATTCTCTCTCTCTCAAATAAATAAATAAAATCTTAAAAAAAAAAAAAATTTACTATTTGCTAGGCACATAATTTGGCTGCAAGGAACACAGACTCAACTGGAGATGGGGTTGGGATTCTTATTGATGGGATGCCCATATGAAGCAATGAGGTAGAAAATTTCATTGACAATCTGAAAGACTGTAGGAGGATTAGGCCTCTAAGAACCCAGAAGTTGCGGTGGGCTAGGGATTTTTGTCTAGATCTAATGCAGCTCTAGAAACATTTGCAGCAGAAGCTTGGCTCTTTATTGTAGTGTTCCAGCATGAAAATGACCCATATCTTAACATATTTGCTCTGGTATCCTATCTTTAACAGACTGATGTTCCACCGTATGTGTTTGTGTAACTACTTTATACAGTTGACACTTGAACAATGCCAGAGGTTAGGGGCGTTGACCCCCACACAGGAAAAAAATCTGCATATAACTTTTGACTCCCCAAAACTTAACTACTAATAGCCTGCTGTTGACCAGAAGCTGTTAACATAAACAGCCAATTAACACATATTTTATATGTTATTTGTATTATATACTGTATTCTAACAATAAAGTAAGCTAGAGACAAGAAAATGTTACTAAGAAAATCATAAGGAAGAGAAAAGAGATTTACTGAACTGTAGTTCTTGTGTAAGTGGACCCACATAGTTAAAATACTTCAACTGTAATTTCCACTTACTAGTGGCTTTATTTATACATAATTCTAACTCACTCTGTGTCCCTTCAGGGCATGGACCCCATGTCTCCAGCTGCCGTACACCCACTTGTTTCTCCTCTCTTTTCTAACTGCCTTATGTTTAGTTCTTTGAGAATCTAAGTAGATACATTTGTCTTTTGTTTCAGTCCACTTTAAAATATTTGCCTAATCTTAGGATAGAATAGCTTTTCATCAAGTTTTCACTCCCGATCCTCTTAGCTCTGGTTTGGTGGGGGGAAGGATTGCTTAATATAAAACTTGGCCAGGAACTTGTCCTTTAGATATGGCTGTCTCTGATCATCCCCAAAACCCTATATGAGGAGTAATTTGTATATTCCAACTCTCAAATGCTTATCTCCATCTTGGGCATTTCTGTTGAGTTCCACACTAGCATTTCAGTGACTTACCTTACAACTCCAGTTAGAAGTCTCATGGTATCTCAAATCACATGTGCATAAAAGAATTCATGTTTTTCATTCTTAGCCTTCTTTTCCAGTACTTCTGTTTCACTAAAAACAACATGAACTGTTAAATTCCTTAGCACCCTGATACCTTTCTCCTTGTAAGCCTTAGCATTATGTGTCTATTGAGAACTCTGAGTGGGTTCCTCTTAGTAAAGGTAGTGTATGAGCCTTTAAACATCTGTGTCAGCTATTTGGCCTTTTAAATTTTTATTTGTTTATATTTTATTTATTTTTTTGGCCTTTTTTAAACTTTTGAGTTCTGGATCTCACACACTGTAAGTTTGAACTTCAGTAAGTGATACTATTAGTTTTCTGAAGTATAAAAATATTGAAATGTGCTGATGTTAGATATGTTTATAATTTTAGGCAGCAAAGGAACAGACGCAAGATTTAATAGTAAAAACCACTAAGCTTCAAGCTGAAAGGTAAGTTTTACTTTGTTTAGTTACCTCTTCATTAATTTGGAGATTAAGTGGAAAGAAAATTATAGGTAACTCCAAATCAGAGTTAAAATAATAAAAAAGATGATTCAAAATTCATATAGCATATAAGATTCTAAGCTCTTATCCAAGAGGAAATAAACATAAAATGATAATTTAGGAGTATCAAACTTGATACTGGGGTTGAGGGATTATTCATTCTTGTAGTTGACAATGTTGTGTATTGTTTGCTGTGGAATTAAAAAGATTGCTTTTTAAAATGTAGATTATTTTAGAGTTTTAGTAATTTTATTTTTTTCTACACTCATTGTCTCTTATTTTTTAGCTATGATTAATCCTCTCTGATATAATTAAGGGTTCACTGTATAAATTTTTCTTATGGTAGTTTATAGATAGGTATGTTAATATTTGTTCACTGAATAAATGGGTTAATGAAGGTGAGTAGAGTATGGATTCATGTATTTTACTGTGTATTACAGTCTTTTATAATTAGTTGTTGGTTTGATTGTCTCTATTCCTACTAAACTGTGAGCTTGTTGAGAACAATGACAATTTCTTACCCGCTTTTTGTGTCTCCAGTGCCTAATATATTGTAGATTCAATAAATAATTTTTGAGTAAATGAATATGGAATGCAACTAATCTAATGTCAGGAAAGGAACATAAAATAAAAACTGAAAAAGAAGCATTGTATTGGAGCTTATACCATATATGGGACCCTAATTAATGTCTAGAGGAGGCAACATTAGAATATTGTGTTTCTCTCTGTATATTTTCAAAACTAGGCAGGGTTGTTCATGTTTATAATTTTAGTAAGCTGATGAAAACGTTTTGGCCTGGTATGCTTTTGGGAGTGAAAATTTCTGACATTTTAGTATCCCTAGAGCTGTAGATATGATGTGCCAAGTGAACATTTGCGGAAAGTATTTTAGGAAAATTACATAGTAGAAATTATAACAGATTCCTGGGAGCTGGCCGGGAGTTGTTTCTCCATTTTTAAATATTACCTTTTCTTTTTAGCAAGAAACCTTGTTAAACAAGCGATTAGCTTTAGAAATAGAAATTCTGTGGGCTTATTTGGATAACATGACATTCTTACTGAGACATATATAAAGGATATGAATATTTTCCCAACTGGGTTAGAAGAAGGTCAGTCATCGTGACAGCTGATGTTCTAATAGGCAAAGTTCCATTGTCTTCACAGAACTGCAGCTAATATTTCTTTATGCTATTTAGTTGATAGAGGGTGGATTTCAGTGATAATCAGGAAATGATATCCACATAAATATACTTCTATATTTTTTAATACTATTGAAGTCACTATTTATTATAGATTTTCTTGTCTCTTGCGAAGGCCCAGCAACCAGATTTCTTTCTGGAATCAGAAAAATAGTCTGTGATGAATGTTTGTTTCTTTTTGAGGTGTAGTTTGTTAAAGTGGGAAGAAGGTAAGCTTTGAAGATAAAACCCTGAATTCTAATCTAAATCTTGAGTAAGAGTTTATTAGGTTTTTAATTTTGTAGAAGTTACTTCTTAACCTTCAGCCTCAGTTTTCACATCTGAAAAAAGGGACTAGCATCTGTGTCCCGGGGTGGTTGTGATGATTGGATGATATGCCTAGGTGCTGAACATACTGCCTCACATCCGTCAAAAAACATTACCCTTCTATCCTCCTCTAAAGCCTTTATGAGATAAACCTATCAGCACATCTTGTTTCTACATTGGCTTCGGTGGCTAGGAACTAGTTTAGGCTATTTTGTGCCTAATTTTTTTTTTAAAGGTTTTTTTTATTTATTCATTCGAGACACAGAGATACAGAGAGAGAGAGAGAGAGAATATGAGCAGGGGGAGAAGCAGAGGGAGGGGGAGAAGCAGGCCCCCCGCCGAGCAGGAAGCCCGATGCGGGGCTCGATCCCAGGACCCTAGGATCATGACCTGAGCCGAAGGCAGACGCTTAACCAACTGAGCCCTGCACCCAGGCGCCCCTATTTTGTGCCTAATTTAATTAGAATAGCTTTCCTCAGCTGTTATTTACTTTCTCATCCTTTCTTACTATTTTATTTTTTAATAGCTCTAATTTTATTTTAATTCTGTTATTTGTTATAAACTAATTCAGGTTTTGAAGTTTGTAAAAAAATATAAAACTTTATTTTGCACAAACTTACATATAAAATATATTGCAGAAGCGTATGTGTTCAGGCAGGAGAGTAGAGACGTCTTTTCTTCTTCCTCTCGTTTATATATATAAAATTTAGAGAAAGAAAAAGAAGATCAGATATACCTTCACTACACAGACATAGCCACTATTAACATTTTAGCATATTTCTTCCCAGCATGAGTATATGTATGTAGTTCATTTTACTTTGTTCACCTAATATTTTATGTTCATTTTTCTGTGTCTTTTATTTAGAAAAAAACATGTATTTTAATGGTAATATTTCATCTTGTGAATGAACCAACATGTATGTTAAACATTCTTAAATTATTGAATACTAATATTATTTCCATTACTAAAAATAATGGCTTGACAGATGTTTTTAAGTCATTATGTGCATTTCAAATTATTTCGTTAGGAAATACTCTTAGAATTGTAATTAATGAGTCAAATGGTAGAAACTTTTTACTTTTTTTAAAGATTTATGTATTTATTTGAGAGAGAGAGAGTGCTCATGAGCATGCAGAGGGGAGGGGCAGAGGGAGAGGGAGATAGAGAATCCCAAATGGATTCTCTGCTGAACTTGGAGCCTGATCATGTGGGGCTCAATCCCAGGACCCAAGATCATGACCTGAGCAGAAATCAAGAGTTAGATGCTTTTAATCCACTGAGCCACCCAGGTGCCCCAAATGGTAGAAACTTTTTAAAATATCCTGACTTTGACGTATATTGTGTAAATTGCTCTCTAAAAAGGTTATACAAATTTACACTTCTATCAGCAATATATGAGACTCTCTCCTTTGTCAGTAGTAGGTATTGTCATTAAAAACTGCCAATTTTATAGATGAACAATAGCATCATAATTCTAATTTACATTTTATTGAATGTTGATGAATCAGTATTTTTTCATTTTGTCATGCCATTTATATTTCCTAATCTTTTTTGTTTTATATATTTTGCCTGTTTTTAAAGTCTTTTTCTTATTATTTTGAAATTATTTGGTAGGAGTGAGTCTAAAAGGTAGAGTTAAAATATGTTAGAGGCATATTTTCAGGAAGAAAAAAGAAGCACCATAAGATTAATAAATCATGTTCTGGGAATGCTTGAAAGAATCATTAGAAGGATTAATCAGTTTACTTTAAATACTTAGGTAATATATGGATGCATGTCCTGAAAATTCATTGATGGGTGTATTATATGTATTTAAAAAAAAAATGTGTGTTGCTCTACATATTTTTTGGAGACTTGCTTTTTGCACCTATAAAATGCCTTGTAGATCACCTTATGTTAATACATACAGATCTACATTATATTTATCTGCTGCATGTTATTTTACAGTATGTATTTGCTGTATTTATTTATATGCAGTGATTACGTGAACACATCTCAAAGAAGTTGTAATTTATAATAGCCATTTATGTTTTATATGAACATTTGTTTCATATGGTTTTATTTAAATATTAAAAGCTCTTCCAAAGATACCATATTTCACCTGTGATGTAAGTTGATGACGAAGTCTGTGTCCTATGTATCTTTTGTCACACCAGACCTTGACTTAGGGCTCTTACACATCGTAGGTCCCCCTTAATGTTACCGGATTGCACAGATGCTCCCATGGACTATCTAACAGTAACTTTCTATCAGAATGGTTTTGCAGTTTTACCTGGGAAGAATATATATGGTAACTAAAGAGTAATATGATTTAAAAAATATATTAGAATTTATTTCATCACTACTTTAGATTTTTTTTTTTTTAATTTATTTATTTATCTGAGAGAGAGAATGGGAGACAGAGAGCATGAGAGGGGGAGGATCAGAGGGAGAAGCAGACTCCCTGCCGAGCAGGGAGCCCGATGCGGGACTCGATCCCGGGACTCCAGGATCATGACCTGAGCCAAAGGCAGTTGCTTAACCAACTGAGCCACCCAGGCGCCCCTCATCACTACTTTAAAAAAAGTTCTCATCTTGAAATACCAAGCCCTTGTTTTAGCAGTATGGCCATTGTTCAACGTATTTTTGGACCAAATCTTTTGTAGATATAGAGCCTCTCGTTCAAAGTCTTTATTTCATAGATTTTTTTTTTTTTTTTTTTAGAATAGTCAACAATATTATTTGGAATGAAATTTAATGATTAAGAAGTAATATCAAGATAGGTAATACTAGCTTTAATTAAAACAAAAGTAAATTATAAACTAATTTATTTCCTTTGTGCCTAATAAATTGACTCTAAAGGTAGATCCAAAAGAAGCATCAAAAAGGTTTTAGTCAAAATGATTGATCTGTATAATCTGAAGGAATTTTATGAATTCTTATAATTATTTTAAATCCTGTATGTTAATGATTGAAGCTTTAAGAGTATAAAACAAAACCTGTTAAGGTAACTTTCTGATATCCATAATAAGATGATTAAGGACATATGCCATTTATCTAATGTAGATTTCATTGGGTGATTTACATTATTATTTGAGATAAACAGAATGTTACTGCCACCTAGAGGACTTTTACTTTCTAACTTGCTATACTACTTCAGAGCACTTGACTGAATTTAAAACCTCACAACCCCACCACACTAACAAAACAAACACGGCAGATGCATTGTACTCTCTATACATAAAATGTTCATGTTTATTTTGTTCACTCTCATTTGAATATTATTAAATTGTGGAATATTACTGCCTTGTGAATACTGCTAGTGAAACCCAATTTTATTTATATATCTTTAAATCTAAGATAGAGAAGCCAGGAATGTTGAAATTCATTCAGGTAGTTTGTACTTCTAACTTGCTTTTAGATGGTGACTCAACTCAGTCCTTCAGGTCCTTGCAGACCACATTCCAGAGGAGAGCGTGTCTTTTTTTTTTTTTTAAGATTTTACTTTATTTATTTGAGAGAGAGAGTGAGAGAGAGAGCACAAGAGAAGGTAGGGTCAGAGGGAGAAGCAGATTCCCCGCTGAGCAGGGAGCCTGATGAGGGACTTGATCTCGGGACTCTGGGATCATGACCTGAGCCGAAGGCAGCTGCTTAACCAACTGAGCCACCCAGGTGCCCAAGCATGCCTTTTCTTAATTGTCAACCTAGTCTAGAGAGGTTGCATCCAGATAATGTAATTTAAAAGGCTTTTTTTTATTACCATATCATGCAGAAAAAGTGGGGAATACAAAAGTGAAGTGCTTTTATGGATTTATGAAGAATTGGTAAATGAGTTCTTGACTTCTGTTTCTAACCTGAAGTAAAAAATAGTAGACCTGATTTTTGGTTGCTGTGTACTTCATGTGAAAACTTCAGAAGCTTAGGATTTTTACTGACTAAGAAGAAATTAGTTGAAGATGGGCATATTTCTCTCCTGTAAGATAACCTTGTTGCTACAAGATGAACAGTTCAAGTACATGTAAATGGCTGAGAATTTGTTGTACAGTTCACCATTTGTGAACTTATTTCTTCTTTTGCATAATGATTAACTCCTTTTACTGTCTGCAGGTATCTGAGGTAGAACAAGTTCAGCTAATTTTATTAACTACATGCCTGATGAGCTTCTAATGTTTGAGGCAGAAATGAGGCTTTCAAAGATGTTGAGAATCTTTCACACTTGTTTTAAGAAATTATTATGTCAGAGATATAACTTGTTTTAGGCGATGCAAATTCACAGCATGCGTGACTTTTTATTGCTTTTTTAAAATTATAGTCAAAGATTAGAAATAAGAGCACAAGTCGCAGATGCCTTCTTATCCAAGTTCCAGCTGACTTCTGATGAAATGGGTCTCCTCCGAGGCACTAGAGAAGGACCTATTACTGAGGTATCTTGTTCATTGTTATAATCATTTAAAGCATAGCAGATACTGATTTGCAGAGAAATCACTTTTTTTAAGGCTTTATTTTACCATCTTAAAAGTTTGATTTAAAAATATATTTTAAGTTTAGAAACTAAGATGCATCTTAAATTACCTTAATTTGGCTTTTTTGCTTGTTGTTTATTCAAAGCAATATCTAAACTTTTTTTTTTAAGAAATCAAAGAGTATCAAATTTATAAAGAAAACCTACTCCTCCTCGTCTCTAAATGTCAACCATTTTCAACCTTGTTAATTGCTTCTTTTCTAAATTTTGCATCCTGGATCTGTTGATTTAAAAAAAAAAAAGGCTTTGGTTATCTATGTTTCCTATTATCTATTGATTTCCTATCATGAAATAGGAGATTTTAGTCTCTTACCCTCTTACACACATACATGTTGTCTTTCCTTCCTACCTTACAGTACAGTTTTATGACATTTTCTGTTTTCATTACCATGGCATTACAATGAATACATGTTTCTTCTTGTCTTTCCTGGAATTTGAAATTCCTTCTCTTTTCATCTAATTAATTTCTGAATCTATGCCCTTCTTTCCAAACTGACACAAAACTCTAAAGCCCCTCAAAATGCTAAACAACCAGTTAAAGTTTTGTTTCTTTGTTTTTCCTGAAGACATTCACTTTCTCCAAAAAGGAATTTTGCAGTCTTCTCACTGGGAGAAGCTATAAACCTAAGCCCGTTGTCATTGTTCAAGGGTTGAGAACAGGACAAGTTCTCAGAAGGGGGAGGGGCTCACTGAGCTGCTCTTGATAGATGTCACTCTTTTCTTACTGCTAGGCTAGAGTGGAATCAGTCATCTGGGAGTAAGGAGTGAAGTAGGTAGAGAATTGATTTGTACATTACTTATTGGTGGTTATTGCCCTTTATAGTTTGTGGAACTTTGCACATTTGAAATATTTGACATCTTACCTTTCCTCCACTTAGCAGAAATAGTAAACGGTATTAGAAGAGGTTTTTTTTTTTTTTTTTAATTTCACTCATCAAAGAAAAATAACTAATTCATTATTTTCATGATTGGAACATTGTGACTGGAAACTAAGGCTTCAGTGCCTTTTTCTAAAGGAAAAAAAAAATCTTAAAGTTCAGCATCAGTCAGTTCCTGTATATTTATGAGCAGCTTTTATACCTCCAACTTTACATTCTACTCTTGGATTAGGGGGCAGGAACAGGTATATAAAAGATATGTAAAACATCATCTTCAGTGATAACAAAGCTATGGTTAATTAGTCATAAGGTGTGTAATACATAGCATGTTTTTCTTTATGTAGTCATCTTTAGGTTTGCATTCTCTCTCACTAGACTATATATTTCTTGAGGACAGGGATTTTTGTCTTTATAAATTTTGTGTTCCCAGCAACCAGCATACTATTTGGAACTAGCAGACATTGAATTAATGTATGTTTTAAAATGTAAATAAATATCTGTTACACTTTCTCTAAAAATTTAGAGAAAGTTGAGGTCAGTTTTAGGAAGCCTTCATTAGAGTAAGTGAAAGGATTTGTTTTTCCCTTGTAGTGATATTTCAATTTAGAGTAATGCAATTTCACCTGAAAACATGGACATTTTAAAGTTGCATTCTTAATTTTAAAGGATTTTTTCAAGGCATTGGGAAGAGTAAAACGGATTCATAACGATGTCAAAGTTCTCTTGCGTACAAACCAACAAACAGCAGGGTGAGTAGTAACCTTTTCTGTTTATTTCAAATCATTTCCTCATATATTTCTAAAATTTTAAAGGCATCCGAGGTCCTTTTTGAAATAATGACATTTTGTGAAATAGAAATTTAATCTTTATGTATCTTTGGATAAGGAGGGAGTTAGTTATACCCTGATACTTACAGAGTAAAACAACACTTGCCAATCTAAGTAATGGTATTAAAATTTGACGTTTATTAAGTCATAAAAAAATTATTGAAAAATCATTCCATAAAATGATAAAAAGTTAATATGTTGTAACCAGATCACTCTGTAATTAAAACAATTAAATTCTTAAGTGTAGCTATTGTCTAAAACTTTAAATTAAAATAAATCTTTAATTTTCTTAGTTTAGAAATTATGGAACAGATGGCCTTGCTTCAAGAAACAGCTTATGAAAGGCTTTATCGGTGGGCTCAAAGTAAGTGATTTCTTTCATACGGTCTAGATGCATGAATATTAGTTTCCAATTTGGTTATTTCACCTGACCTTTGATATCATATTTTGATCTTAGTGATCAAAAAGTATTTTTAAAAAGAAAAATGAACTTTACTTTTGAACATACTGTGTTTGTATCATGAGCATCTTCTATCATTGAAGCTCTGTATGATTAAGGATGATAAAAAAATAAAAGCAGTATTTCTGCCCTACATTATCTTAGGGTTGATTAGACATTTTTTATTATTTAAATAACTGTTTTATACATGGTGAATTGATTTTTCTCTTGTTGCTTTAACAAATCACCACAAACTTAATGACTTTGGACAACACAAATTTATTATCTTACAGTTCTGTAGGTCAGAAATCAGACATGGTGTCACCACAAATAATGTTGGTAGGGCTGCATTCATTTCTGGAGGCTCTAAGAAAAATCCGTTTCCTTGCTCATTTAGTTTGTTGGCATAATTTAGTAACTTGAGTCTGTAGGACGGACTGAGGTGTGAGTTTCCTTGCGGGCTGTCACTGAGGGCTTTTCCCAGTTTTAGAGGCTTCCTACATTCTTTGGCTTATGGCCTCTTCCTCTGTCTTTAGAGCCAGCAATAATGGATTGAGTCAGTCTCTCACTTTAATCTCTCCTGCCTCTTTGTCCGTATCATATCTCTGACTGACTCTTTTGCCAGCCTCTTCTACTTTTAAGACCTATGTCATTGGACTTGCTTGGGTAATCTGGGAACATTTTCCTGTTTTAAGATCTGTCACCTTAATTTTGTCTGTAAAGTCCCTTTTGCTATGTACTATAACATATTCACAGGTTCCAGGAATTAGAGATCTTTGGAGGGCCATTATTTTGTCTGCCACAAGTGGTTTATTCTTAGTTTTGTTTTAAAATGTTTCAGTAATCTGTTCACAGAATTGCCTGTTAAAACCAAAGTTAAGACAGTTAAGACAGGATAGGATAGAAGTGAGGGAGAAGCAGGCTTCCTGCTGAGCAGGGAGCCTGATGCGGGGCTCGATCCCAGGACCCTGGGATCATGACCTGAGCCGAAGGCAGACGCTTAACAGTTGAGCCACCCAGGCACCCAAAAGTACATGACATTTTAATAGGTATTACCAACTGACTGTCGGAAGGAGTTAGGAATACAAACAGTTAACTAGTAATACCTATACTAGACTGAACTTAGGTTCTGCATCTTTCTGGAACTCTCCATGACTACATTAAATCACAGTGACTTTTCCCATCTCTAAACTCTAACTGCTGGAAATATTTGACATTCGGTACATTATACTTAACTTTTCATATATGTATATCTTAGCCTCTGCAGTTAGATTTCTACTTTCTCAAAGGCAAGGACATTCCCTCACATTTTTTTGTGCTTCCACAACACCCAACATAGTGGTTCTAAACTATGGCCTTCTGACTCCTAAAGACTTTGGAGTCATCTTAAGATACCTAATTTCTGCAAAGGAAACCATCAACAAAACAAAAAGACAACCTACTGAATGGGATAAGATACTTTCAAATGATATCTCTGATAAGGGATTGATATCCAAAATATATAAAGAACTCATGCAACTCAACACCAGAAAAACAATTTGATTAAAAAATGGGCAAAGGAACTAAATAGACATTTTTCCAAAGAAAAACTACAGATGACCCAACAAGCACATGAAAAGATACTCAACATCACTAATCATCAGGGAAGTGCAAATCAAAATCACAATGAGATATCACACCAGTCAGAACGACTAATATCACAAAGATAAGAAATAACAAGTGTTGGTGAGGATGTGGAGAAAAAGGAACCCTCGTGCAGTATTCATGGGAATGTAAATTGGTGCAACCATTGTGGGAAACAGTATAGAGGTTCCTCAGAAAATTACAAGCAAATACCATATGATCCAGTGATTCCACTACTAGATTATACTTACCCAAAGAAAATGAAAAGAGTAATTCAGGAAGATATATACACCCTTATGTTTATTGCAGCATTATTTACAATAGCCAAGATATGGAAACAACCCAGGGTCAACTGAATGGATAAAGAAGTTGTGGTATATATATATACAATCAGCTATTACGCAGCCATAAAAGCAACTGAAATCTTACCATTTGTGACAACATTGATAGACCTAGAGGGAATTATTATTCTAAGTGAAGTAGTGAAGTAAGTCAGAAAGAGAAAGACAAATACTATATGATTTCATTTATATGTGGAATCTGAAAAACAAAACAAGCAAACAGACTCTTAAATACAGAGAACAAACTGGCTGTTGCCAGAGGGGAGTTGGATGGGGGTGGTGGGCAAACTAGGTGAAGGGGATTCAGAGATACAAACTTCCATTTATAAAATAAGTCATGCCGGTGAAAAGTACAGCATAGGGAATATAGTCAACAGTCTTGTTTAAAAAAAAAAAGATACTTTCAATTCCAAACATGCATATATTTTTCTCAGTGCTTGCTAGAAAATATACTGCTAGTATGAGGTCCACATATACCAAATGTTTGGGTATTTTTGAACAAGTTCTAAGTTTTTTGAACATAGTAAACATTTAGTTAGCATTTTATGCATAAAATTAGAATAGTAAAGAAGATGTTGGTGTAGACATTTTTAAAAGTTTAGAATCTAAACTGATTTGAAATTATAATCTTATTGCCATATATTATTTATATAAACATTTTTAGCAAACTGCTTAAAGTTTGCTCCCAAAGGAAGGGATTGGTAATGTATTTTTTATTCACCCCCCCTTCCCCTTGAACACTGCCATGTGTGTAGCAGTTACTCTGTGAATTTGTTCATTGATTGGTTTCTTTGGAACTGTAGTTTAATAGAGGTTTGGGGTGCACTGGATAGCATGTGTGGTCATATAAAGTTATACAAATACTTAAGCTTACATTTTTAGTTTGGTTGACAGTGTAAAATAGTTTTTGATTGGCATATTCTGTAAGTTTTTCTGAGCATTTTTTTAATGCAATATTTGTTAAAGAAGTTAGACTGATTGTACAATGGATATAATAAAGACCTAATTTTAATTTAACAAGTGCTATAATTATATGTTAACTGTTTTTCAGGTGAGTGCAGAACATTGACACAAGAATCATGTGACATATCTCCAGTATTGACTCAGGCTATGGAGGCCCTGCAGGATAGACCTGTCTTATATAAGTTCGTGACTTTTTCCTAATTTAAAAAAAATAAATCTGCTTTTTCTTTGATGAGTTATGCTAGCTTTCAGTATTATCAAATTATATACACTAGTTTGAGTAATATAATTTACAGTGATGTTTTCATGTCATATGTATATCATTGGAGCATCAGCTTATTTGCATAATGTGTATTATAGAATGCCATAAGGTGGGGAAAAGCAGGCTGTCCCTATATCTAGACTACCCTTTATTTATGTAGAGGTTAAGGGGCTTTTCCTCAATCTGTCATCCATTCACTACCTTAGAATTGCATGAAACTAAAACTCCTCTATCAACCCTTCCCTAGAGAGAAAGAGGTCAAATAGGGGACTGAGAAATATAATTTCCCAGAAATGAAAAAAGGAAATTTAAAATCAGGATTCCATTAACAGGATTTAGAGTTCAGATGTTTGATTCTGTAAGTTATGCTGGCCAAGAGATGTATGATGATAATTTGTATAAGAATTCTATGCATTATTAATTGTTCACATATTTTTTATTATTCTGTATTTTAATTTTCTTTATATAAAATAGAAGTATTTTTTTAAAATTTTTAATTTCTGCAATAGTATGGAAATAGAGAGACCCAGTGGGGAGTTATAATGCAGGAAACAGAAAACCAGGGGACTTCTACATAGGCATTCAATCCTGCTCTGAGTCATGCCTTTCAGAGGCTTATAATAGTTTAAGAGGATTTCCCCATTATTCTTTCTGATTGGAACAATGTTTAGCCCATAAGAAGTTTCCAGAACACAAATGCTGGGACAGCTGTGTAAAATAATAACATTCCAGTACTACTTAATGAGTACTTACTATACGTTAAGCACAGTTCTATGTGCTAGAGACACAACATCAATAAAACTCTACCCTCAAATTGCTTTATTTTATGGGAGCAGATACACATCCATTTTAATGACTGTATTAATTGCTATTTTAGAGTCTCTGTGTCAGGTGCTGTGTGGCTCAGGTGTTCTGTGGTAGGGGAAAGGGATGAACATTAGGGAAGGTTTCCTCTGGGAACCTTCCTCTGGGAAATAGGTTTAAAGTGAGTTCTCAGGATTGAATAGGCATTTTCCAGGAAGAGAAGGGAATTGAGAACATCCCAAGTTGAGGGAACAGCAGGTGCAAAGATGTAGATTGAGACAGAACATGTATTTTGGGGAAATTGGTTGCAAAAGCTTGTGCTGGCTGTTGGGTTGGTAGCAAGAGATGCTTTGTCATAGCCCTCAATGTGGTGCATGTGTATGTGGTAAGGCATGTTCACTATGGATCACCAGCTCAGCAGATTTTATCTACCTTGGAATTTCTTTCCCAGCCTTTTTACTTTAAGGTATTGGTGTTTAATTAGGAGTCTTTTATACTGAAAATATTTGGTATTTGATTTTAATCAAGTGTTATGTTGTCCACAGATTCCTATTTGTTCATAAAGTTAGTCTTTGTTTAAAAAAATGCCTTTGTGTGTTTTGGTCAGCTGACTTCTACCATGTAAATATATTTTTACTAAATTTTGATTCTTGAGAAACACTTGGAAAGGAGCAGTATTGCATAATAGTTTAGAAGGTGAGCTCTGAATTTGATTTTTTATAAGCCCCTCTACTTTCAGAAACCTCAGTTTCCTTAAATGAGGATGAAAATAGTGCCTATCTTACAGGGTTTTTGTGAATATTAAATTAGATTGTTCACATAAGGTGTTTAGCATAATGCCTTGCTCATCACTAAGTATTAGCTATTATTTTTATTTTGAAAGGAGATAAACTAGAAAGTTGCCAACCACAGAGGGGTGTATTTAGAGTCTGTTGTGACAGCCAGGAAAAGCTGGAAAGACAAAGAATAGAACTATAATAGGCAAAAAAGATTTATGTTGAAGGGGCACATGCCAGGGAATAAGGAAGGCAGCAGTGCATTTGGGAAGATTGTAAGAGGCATTTGGAAGTTAACTTGGGAAGAAGGAGGATTTTTAAGACCAATTGATTCCCATAAGATGGATGCTAAAAAAGAGGAAATTGGCCTTTCATTAAGTAATCATTTATCTTCAAAGTGGTAGTTTCTTTAAATTTAGGAAAAATTTAAGTGTATCTCTTAACCACCAGATGGCACTATATGAACTTTATTTAAGTAATGTGTAAAAGCTTCACTGCCCTTAGTGTGTCTCAAATGTGTAGGTATCATGTGCAAGAAAAATGGTAATTATTGAAGTCCTTGGGAAAAGTTTCCACCCAGTTTTTATTAGGTAGTATGTAACTAGAGTGCTAATGCATTATTTATTTTCAATAAATCAGGTATAGAAATTTCAGTAGGGGCGCCTGGGTGGCTTAGGTGGTTAAGCTGCCACCTTCGCCTTAGGTCATGATCTCTGGGTCCTGGGATCTCTGGATCCTGGGAGCTCTGGGTCCTGGGATCGAGCCCCCCCTCAGGCTCCTAGCTTAGCAGGGATTCGCTTCTTCCTCACACTCTGCCTCTCCCCTGTGCTCCTGCTCTCTCTCTTAAATGAATAAATTAAAAAAAAAATCTTCAAAAGAAAAAAAAATGTCTTCATAAAGAACTTTATTATAAGTAGAATAGATTGACATCTTCCTTTGGTAGACCTTCAGAATATAAAGTGTTAAAGAATGTAGTAATTTGCTGGCTTCTTCATTCTTTATGTATTTGTTACATTTCTTGGAGGCTTTTACACTATTCTTTTAATTTGTTTTTGACCAACATTTTTCATGTTTTAATTTGCTTTTTGACCAAAACTTTTCTTTTCTTGCTATAGACATTAAAAATGGGGACTTTAATTTTTACTTTTAGCTTAGAGGCATTTTAGAATATTTATATCATTTTAACATTCACCTTTGTAAAGCTCCATTTTGAATTTTTGACCTTTGTTGGGAAATAATCTCTTTTTAGTCAAAGAAATTTTCTTCTTTCTCAGGGAAAAGGTGTTTCATATATATAGATGTCATTGAGGATTCATTGTAGTGCATGCTGGTTTTGCTTCAAATTATATCTATTGTTGCAGGGGGATTAACATTCATATTAATGTATGAGTATATTTCATATAATTATACAGATTGGAGTCCAGTGTTTGTCAGGCTTGATAATTCACTCCCACCTCCATTAAAATGCCAGTGAATTCACTGGTTTCTTTTTTTTTTTTTTTAAAGATTTTATTTATTTATTTGACAGAGAGAGACAGTGAGAGAGGGAACACAAGCAGGGGGAGTGGGAGAGGGAGAAGCAGGCTTCCCGCGGAGCAGGGAGCCCGATGCGGGGCTCGATCCCAAGACCCTGGGATCATGACCTGAGCCGAAGGCAGACGCTTAACGACTGAACCACTCAGGCGCCCCGAATTCACTGGTTTCTAACATAACTTGTGGTCAGAGTGAATAGGCCTAGAAACAGAAGTTACATTGCTTCTGTTTATTGTGGCAGGTTGGGTTCTAAGGATGAGTTTTATATATTTGAGAAGTTAAAAGTTTGTGAATTTTGTGCTGTAAGTAATCATCTGATCATAAGTCATTTCATGGAGTTGGTGATACTTAAAGGAACACATTCTTTACTAAACATATTTATAGTTTAAGAGCATGAGAAAAAAATCAAAGCATTTTCGTTCTAATTTGTTTTAAAGAATAGAAAGTGATTGCAAGGTCACTGCGTGCTTAGAGCTTAGCGGCATAGTGCATTTCATCTTGATTTATTGCTAGTATGTCACTGCATAGAATTTCAGACCCATTTCCTTTTAACTGAAGACAAACACAAAAAACCATGATCTGGTTTCTAGTGAACAGCCCTTTAAAAAGGTTCAGATTCCTACAAATTTGTAGATATTGACCACTTTACTACACTTTTCCCTTTTATTTAAAAATATTCCCTCTTCCAGCTTTCTTAGGTTTCAAAAAATGTGGATTTTATTTTTTTATTTTTTTAAGATCTTTTTTTTAAGATTTTTTTTTGTAGAGAGAGAAAGAGAGTGTGTGTGTGAGCACGGGGGGTGGGGAGGCAGAGGGAGAAAGAGAATCTCAAGCAGACTCCCTGCTGAGTGTGGAACCGACATGGGGCTCAATCTCATGACCCTGAGATCATGACCTGAGCAGAAATCAAGAGTCAGTCACTTAACTGACTGAGCCACCCAAGCACCCCTGAAAAAATGTGGATTTTTTATTAAATCAGTAGCATATTAAAGAAAGCAGTGTAGCTTTTATAGTAGTAGAAGAAATTAATTCTTTTGGAAACCCAAATCCCAAATTTTGGTAACTTTGGTTTATATGTAGGGTATGAAATAATTTTTAATATGAAGTCTGTTAGAAACTCTTTAGAGATTTAGAAGTTCATGGGTCTAGAATCTGAGACTGGACTGGGAAAAAATTTCTTGTTTTCCTGTGTACTTTTAAAATAGCAAGAACTTTGAATTGGTGGATGGGTGTACGGAATGGTGGTCATAGTGGGAAACCAAGGCTGATCCTAGTCAAAGAAATGGGCACTCTTGGCAACTCCAGGCCATCCTGTGATTTCACCCCAAATTGTCTGATCTCCCAGTTCAAAGTTCCCTTTCCTATAAACCCCTTCACTTTAGGAAGCCTTTTTTTTTTTTTCTTTTAACCACAATAGGTGATTTCTAAATATACATAAAAGAAGTTTTTGCTCTGTATGCCTCATTGGTCAGTAAATTTAAGGAATGTATGTCTAGTATTGGAGTCAAAATAAGCTTTTGGATATGGATAGTATATTTGGGAAAAAATTGATGGTAGAAGAAAAATTGTTGTTTTTTGGATTGCAGAGTTCTAACTGTAACCAGTCCTCTGAGATCTAGATATTATGGCCTGTGTGAACACTAGAACATCATGTTTTGCACTCCAAGGGTGCTGAAACCTGAAGAATCCCGAATTTTCACCTTTCCTTGCTTTTTACTTTTACCAGACCCACTGCTCTGTCCCTTATTGCCATTGCCCCTATTACTGATCCCAAATTCCAGCATTCTTTCTGAGGAGGAGTAAAAATATGTACCTTTAGAGTGAATTTTCATTATGATAAAGTTATTTCATAACTATTTTTTTGTTGTTTAAAAACAGTATTGCTTGAGAGTTGTGTAAAAAAGCTGTAGATGTGTCGGTTATCTCAGAAATTGCATGAATAGTTTGATATACTCATTAAAAAGAAACACATCTGTTTTTCAAATAACATATTTCTTCTAGGTATACCTTAGATGAATTTGGAACAGCCAGAAGAAGCACTGTCGTTCGTGGATTTATTGATGCTCTTACGAGAGGGGGCCCAGGAGGCACACCAAGACCCATTGAAATGCACTCCCATGACCCTTTGAGGTATAGTAATCAGACAGTGTTGGAATATTTGATGTTTTTCTGAAGGAAATCTTTACTAACATTTAGTTTTTACATTAGATACGTAGGAGATATGTTGGCTTGGCTCCATCAAGCTACTGCTTCTGAAAAAGAACACCTTGAAGCTCTCTTAAAGCATGTAACTATACAAGGTGGGTCCTCTGGTTGTTATTGCTAATGTCTAAGTATAGAAAATAACACAAGGCTCCTCTGTTTCTATTCTTATTGCTGTCATCTTCACAGAGATAAGTTCTTCACACCTAGGTGTCACATTAAGCACGCTAATTAATTTCCTCTCTGGTTTCCCCCCTTTTCTCCTAATAGACTTCTCTCCTCCATCACTTTCCTGTCACAGCTGTTCACACTTGTGTGCTGGTCCCTTGTAGCCTTCCCATATCAGGCCTGCGCTCCCCTGCCTCGCTTTTAAGTGTATAGCGTACACTGTCTCAGATCTTCCGCGCCAAGCTTTAAAGGCGGGAGGTGGTATTATCTTCCTTTTATCTGTGAGTAAACAGACTGAGGGACTTGTTTAAGGTCATTAAGCTACTAATTCTTTTCTACTATCCAACTCCTTATTCATTCTCATGTGACTGTTATAAAGTTTTTTGAATAATTACCCAGGTAGTACTAAATGTATTTAAAATTTTGGTCTTGATTTCAAGGAAGAAAAAATGATGCTTTTTGAGTTGCTATGTCTGTTTCTTACAGAATTTCAGATCTTCTTAGTATTGTGACTACCTTAAGATGCCTGTTAGAGTTTGAGGGGTAAATGGAAAATTAAGATACTCTATTTTTGATAGGAATTAAAGAGAAATATTGTGATTGGTATCACTTGACTGTGTTGCATTGCCCAGCCCCGCATCCTTCTGGCTCACAACGTGATCTCCAGGAGAGGCTAGTGTACAAATTGGGGGAAGATCCTTATTTACCCTTCCTCATTTTTTTTTACTCTTTGATATTCAAATTAAACTCAGCATGTTTGTTTGATTGGCACAAGGTCTGAACTTTTTTAAGTTGTTTTCTGTTATCCTAATTACCTAGTTTAAAAGAATGAATTTCTTAAAAGATGTTTTAGTGAAGTATATATAAGAGGCAATGTGAAGAGGTTGGAAGAATTTAGATCGGAGTTGGGCGAAACAAGTTATTCTTTGGGAATGGCTTCATTCTTCCAAGCCTCAGTTTCTCTATCTGTAAAAAAGAAGGCGGTCACAGGCAGTAAATGCCAAGTACACAGGAGCTTGGTAAATAGTCAGTATTTAGTAAATGCCAGTTTTTCTATTAGATTACAAGGTGTGCTTTCCGTCTTTATATCCTCAGCTTCTGTGTTCAGCACCCCTGCCCAGAATAAGGCGTTTGTAGAACAAATACTAATACGTCTTTACATCACTTCCTTCAGTTAATATGTTTCCTAGTCATTTTTTCCTGTGACTCATACATACATTTATTCTTTTTCACAAAGAAGTAATGTTCATTTTATTAGTCAGCAGTGCAATAAATTAACAAGGCTCTAGACCCAGACATTAACATAATTAATAATGTCCTGAAAGATATTGAACTTAATAAAATATTATGTTACTTTAAATGTTTGTTATTAGTGCCATTAATCATATTCATTATTGTTTGTTAGTTTTTTGAACTTATGTGTGATATGGAAAAAAATTTTCAGTTATGTTGTAATTAATTGTAGGTGTTGAAGAAAATATCCAGGAAGTTGTTGGGCACATTACTGAGGGTGTGTGCAGGCCTCTAAAGGTAAATATTTTGTTTTTTATATATGTTATATGGCATCTGGCTAAATCATTGCCTTATTCCTGTGAGTTTAAAAGAACTGTTAACAGCTTGAAGTCAAGCTATAGTTTTCTCAAGTTAACACATTAGTGTAGGATAACAAAATACATTTTAAAGTAAATATTGTCAATTTTATCTTTAAGGAAGAAAATTTGAAATATTCTTAGTTTATATATATTCACTTATTTTTTTTTACCATATTATGTTTTCCATGGTAATTTATGTTAATCAATTGAGAAAAAGTCCCTTAAGTTGAAATAACTTATCTATGAACTCTTAACAGAAATTTTCTAAGAACATGTTCCATTTACTTTATTGTTTCAAGCATTGTACGTTTTTTGTCTATTATAACAATAATGGATAAAATAACGTGTAAGTTTTATTACCAATACTATTTATAGTACAAGGAACAGAATTTGAAGTCAAACTTGGGTTAGAATTTCCACTTTGCCACTTAATTGTGTTCACTTGTTCGAGTTGCCTCTTCTGTTGAACCTGTATATAAAAATACCTACCATGCGGCTCCTGGGTGGCTCAGTCTGTTAAGCATCTGCCTTTGGCTGAGGTCATGATCCCAGGGTTCTGGAATCCAGTCCCCTTTGGCATTGGGCTTGCTGCTCAGCGGGCAGCCTGCTTCTCCCTCTCCTTCTGCCCCTCCCCTCTGCTCGTGCTCTCTCTTTCTCTTTCTCCAGTAAATAAAAATCTAAAAAAAAAAAGAAAAAGCTACTATTAAATTAATGGTGGTTGTGAAGATCAAATGAGAAAACTGTGTAGATGAAGTACATAGTTCCTGATACCTACTAGGCTTGCAGCAGTATTTTTCTTTAATAATATTTATGGAATACTTTGTAGTTGTTGGTTTAATTTCCTTGTTGATTGACTTCAACTTACTATGTAGAAATTGAAATCTAGAAGGTTTATGATTTATTCTTACCAAGAACCAAATTTTAAAACTAATTGTTTTTTTTGTTTCTGAGATTTTCTTTGGTATTTTGTTGTAGGCAAGGAAATATCAGATAACACACCCTTGTAACAGTTGATTTACAGATTTAATTATCACTGTAATTTGATCATCTTAGGATTCACTTGCATATTCAGTAAATAAATACAAAATATTTTGAAATTATTTTACTTAGTTCTCTCAAGTGAAATATTTATTTGCCATAGTTTGGTTTTTAGACATTTATACTCATGTAAATGTTGCTTATTTTGTATACTAGCAGTTATTGGAAAGATAGAAAAAGAGAGTATAAAAATATTTCTCTTTCTACACTTTGCATATTTTTTTGTAACTACATAGAGTTAAAGGAAACTCGGAGTCATAACAATGAATAAATTGCTTTGGTGAATAAATTGTATTTTATCTGCCTTACCTCCCTTTACCCCCTTCCTTCCTTACGATATTATGTTCCTTATATTACTGATTCCTTTTTTTGTTGTTGTTAAAGTAATTGTATAAAATATAATGCTAGAATCTGAGGGTTGGAATGGACTTTAGAGTTTCTTGTTCTGGTCTGAGTAAGAAATATTATTATGATGTTAAAAATATTAAATTAATACCCATTGCTTATATAAAGAGATTATATACCAAAGTATGCCTTTGTTTTAAAATGTACCTCATTTCATTTTCCTTAAATGTTTATGTTCCAAAAGGTGTTTTCAACAATTGTAGGGCATTATTGTGACTGCCTGTGAAATTTTAATGTAAGATATCAAAAGGTGAAGAAAAAACTCGTAAGCAAGCAAAAATATTTCTATTGTAAAATGAATAAAAATTCTTTCAGTTTCTGAAGTGACAGAAACCTTAGATCTTTTCATATGATAGTAATATTAAATGCGTACTCTAGAGAATATTTAACAGATGTTCACAGTAGTTACATTATCAAATTAGCTTGATAGTGGTACATTATATGATCCAATAACTCTTCCCTTCCTTTATATACTTGTGACAATTTACACTATTTTAAGAATTTCCTTCCTATATGACCTCATTTGGGTATCTAATATTCTCAGCTAACATTTGAATTCCATCTCTTTAATAAAAACTTTAGTGTACTATATGCTCTGAGCTTTGTAAATTATGTGGGTTCTATGCTGTTATAAATCTGCTAGAGAAGAGCTGTGTGTCTACATTAATATCTTTTATATTTTGTCCTAATAATTATATTAAAATTTAGAAAGTATCACTTCTGTTGACATAATATATAATTTATTTATTTATTTATTTTTTAAAGATTTTATTCATTTATTTGAGAGAGAGAGAATGAGAGAGAGAGAACACATGAGAGGGGATAGGGTCCGAGGACGAAGCAGACTCCCTGCCGAGCAGGGAGCCTGATGCGGGACTCGATCCAGGGACTCCAGGATCATGACCTGAGCCGAAGGCAGTCGCTTAACCAACTGAGCCACCCAGGCGCCCCGACATAATATATAATTTAAATCACTACTGATCCAGGCCTTGGACCTAGAGAGAAATTGTAATGTAATGTGAAAAAATCATGGTTTTTAAATTCACACACCATTCATGATTTATAATTTGTGTCAGTTAGCTCACTAGTACTTTATGCCAAAAGATGTATGAATTTCATAAACATATTCATGTAAAGGTCGTTTAGTTTCTGTAATCTAAGAGGGTTTTATATGCTCATATACATACATTTGTAAAATCTATTTTAGCAAATCACGTATGTTGGCATTATGACATATTCCAAAATCTAAGTATAGAGAAACTTCAATTTTCAAAAGCGTGTATTAAGCATCTGTTGTGTATGTACTGTAGAGATGTAAAAGAAGCAGAAAACAAATTGTGTGTGTTTAGAATCTGGTTAGGAAACAAGAAAACACAATGTAAGCAGCAGCTTCAGAACAGATATAATACGTAAATAAGCACATTATCAGTGTGATTTAGATTGTATCCATTAATTAGGGAACATAAAGTAAGGGCGAGATCAGTAAGGATTCCTAGTAGTTAATCTTAAGAGTAATCAAGTTAACTTTGCAGTAGATCTGATACTGCCCTGGTAGCCATAATTAGACATACATGTTGGTGCTAATTTAAGATTTGTCTGTTATTGTCTAATAAAAAAGGAAATTTGGTGTAATAGTTTAAAGATCAGAATTCTTTCATTTTTTTCTGAATATTTGGTGATAGAGCAGTATTTGCACTGATAATCTGTTTTTAGGATGTAATAGCTGCTTTGCAAATAGTGCTGAGCTACATTACGTTATAATCTGGTGAAAACCCTCACAATGACCTCATCATTGTATTATTTCTGGTAGCAACCGCCTTCAGCCAAATTCTGTAGGTATTGGATCTAGGTTTTGTTTTGGTTTTTTGTAGAGTATATCTGTGTTAAAATGTTTCTGTTATTTTACCATCCCCTATAATTTAATATTCAGAAATTACTTAGAAGGAATTTTGTGATTTCTGCAATAATTAAATTTTATTTTTTTAAATGCATGTTTATACCACATGTGATTATTGAAGGAAAGTTATACCTTTAAGAAATGCTTAATTTTTTTTCACATGTTTTAATAGGTTCGAATTGAACAAGTAATAGTTGCTGAACCTGGGGCAGTTTTGTTATATAAAATTTCTAACCTCCTCAAATTTTACCATCATACAATCAGGTAAGTGGAATGGTTAAATGTGCTTTATTAAATCCTATGTGATACATCATTTCAGTTAGAACACAGTATAAGGGTTTTTGTTTTTTTCATTTTGTTTTGTTTTGTACCATTTGTACAACTACATATAACTAGCAGAACCTCCACACCATATGAATCATTACATATATATTATTTGTGCTGTATTTTGAGGTCTGTCATTTCCTTTTTTTCCCTAAACATAACTGTACACACCCTCACACACATGCACGTGCACACATACAACTTATAACAGTGTGAGATTATAGGGTGAGTATATTTTTAATCTTCTTGCATCAGTAAAAGAGATATGTGGCACCTAATGTAACTATACATTATACTCAGAATAGGGCACAATAAGTTAAGTGTCCTATCCTCGATGTAAATAATGTAAATTCTTTATCATTTAGTTTCCTATTAGTGATAAAGCAGCACTATAGCTTTATTTGCTTAAATAAAAGGTACTTTATCTTCTTTAAATAAAAGTTCCTTTATCTGATTAGGAACCACTTGTTTTCTCTATAGTACGATCTTTGACTCTAAAGTGTGCATTTATTTTCACTTTGCAGTGATGGTGTATACACTTGAGCTTTATTATGCCACTATAAGACCTTGTTCCATGCGTAGTTGTGTTAAAACAATGTCTTGAATTTCAAGCTCTATTTTGGATAGTTTTCATATTAGTCCATTAAAAATGATTTAACAGTTACTTTTTATCCAGTATGCTAGAATCAAGAACAGAAGTTCAATTGTTAAAATCCAAGAGGGTTATAACTAATAGATCCAGGAGAGGTACAGGGATCAGTAGTTCAAGAAGCACCAAAAGACTATGGCAATGATGTTACCTACCTTCTAGTAGCTGAGATTAGCCACCCAAAACTTCACAGCTAAGAGATGGGTTTCACATTTTTAAACAAAACCAACAAGCCACAGGCTATAAAACTAATCAGAGATAGGATTTGGGTTAGTCCTGTAACATTTTAGATATAAATTTATTTATTTATTTATTTATTTATTTATTTATTTATTTATTTATTTATTTATTTATTTTTAAGATTTTTATTTATTTGCGAGAGAGAGAATGAGAGACAGAGAGCATGAGAGGGAGGAGGGTCAGAGGGAGAAGCAGACTCCCCGCCGAGCAGGGAGCCCGATGCGGGACTCGATCCCGGGACTCCAGGATCATGACCTGAGCCGAAGGCAGTCGCTTAACCAACTGAGCCACCCAGGCGCCCTAGATATAAATTTATTATCACCACTTGCTATGACTCAAAAGCAATAAATTAGTTTCAATTGTGATGTTATAGGCTTCCTAAAATAAGAGAATGATCCATACTGAGGAAACACAAGAGCCACTGAAAGCAGCTAACACTGTAACTAATGCTGTACTAGGCAAAGGTAGTGGTAAATCATTTTTACATTATTTATGTAGTAATACCCATGATGGTACTGCATGAAATTTTTATTTGAAGATAATGATAACTCAGTTTCTAATGCAAATAATGCTAAGAAAAAATCATTTGGATTCTGAAGGTAATAGGTTCGTTAGACTCTGAGAATTATAATTTTTGTCTTTGAAGGTGATGATTTTGAAGATGACAGTTGGATCTTTTGATACATTTTTTTTGTGTACTTTTTTTACTTGTTCACATATTTCCTCATTTAGTCAATTAAAAAACTGTTTACAAATGTTACTCTTCTAGATGCTAAAGAAATGGCAGTGAACAAAATAGCTTAAACTTACATTCTAATGGGGGAGAAAGACTAAGTATAAAATAATTTTAACTGATGATAAGGGCACTGAGGAGAAATAAAGCAGGAGAATGTAAATAAAGCATAGAGAGTGACCACATATGAGCAGGTGTATGTGCATGTGGCTGTTTTAAAGGCCTTTTGGTGGAGGTGATGTTTGAATACAGACCTAAAGAGCGTGAAGGAGTTGGGCATGTAAAGATCTCAGAGAAGAGTGTGCTAGGCAGGGCACACTCTGGCCCTGAGGCCAGAAAAAGCTTCCATTTTAAAGAACCAGAAGGAAGGCCAGTAGTTGGAGTAGAGTGAATGGAAGGAGTAGGGAGGGATGAAATCAGAGAGGTAGGCAGAGGCCAGATCATGTAGGACTTTGTAGGCTCTAGTGAGGATTTAGATTTTATACTGATTGGTTTGAAGAAGATGTGTGTGTGTGTTGTGTGTGTGTGGGGGGGTGTGTTTCAGTGACTTGAGCTGATTTATGATACAAGGTGACTCTGGGCACTGTGTCGATAACGTAGTGTAGTGGGGTAAAGGGGAAGAGGGACAGTATTTAGGAAGCTGTTTGTATTCTGAGCAGAGACAGTGATGAATCAGAGTAGGGTGATAGTCTTGGAGGGAGTGAAAAGTAATTATTTCCAGAGACAAGAGGATATATATGGACTAGAGAGGGTGAGATATGAGGAGTCAGGGATGAATTCTTGGCTTTTGGTTTGAACAGTTAGATTAGTGGTATAGTCATTTGCTGCGAGGGAGGGTTCTAGAGAGGACAGTTTGATGGGAGTGGGTGGGTAATGAAGAGTCCAGCCCACTTTTGACTGTCGGATTCAGCATCCCTATGAACATTCAGTGGGAGATGTTGAGTGAGCAGACAACAGAGAAATCAGGGCTAAACCTATAAATCTGACAGTTTGTAGTGTATAGATGGTATTTGAAACACTAAGACTAGGTAAAATAACTTACGTGAGTGTAGATAAACAAGAGGCCTAGGACTGAGTCCTGGGGAATCCTAATATTAAGAGGTTAGGAAAAAAAGAAACCCACAAAGAAAATTGGAAAAGAATAGCCAGTGATGTTGGGGAAAAGTGGGTGACACAATTTTCAAAAATATTTTTCATCCTATACACTAAAACTCCCAAAGGATGGATTCCATCAAAAGGCCGTAGTAAACCAAGGAAAGGAAGATGTAGAATCCATAAAAACAGGGAATCCAGCATACTTTGATTACATTTCCTTCCCTGTAAAACTTTTTCTCTCTATAGTTAATAATCACTTTGTTTTTGCACTTGCTTCCTTTCCTATGTCCTTATCACTATTTCAGACCCAAACTCTTAAGTAGACTCTACATTTTCTCACCATATAGTCAAGCACATCAACCAGTCCTTCCTAACTTCTCTCTCCTCTCCTCTTCCCACATCCATCTTGGACACGCCATTCTCTTTCTCCAGTCTGAATTGGTTGCTCTTTAGACCTACTACAAGGCTGTGACACAGGGTTTTGTCTTCTTTATCAGCCTGCTCATTCCCTTATGTTGAAATCCCTGATGCCTTGGACAGCTCTGAATAGTATTTACATGCTTGTAATAATGTAAACATTGAGTATTTATTCACCAAACCCTATGATATAACTGTATTAGGGAACCTGGGAAAGATGAAGTTTGGGTATGTTGTGGTGGGGGATGAGCATTATGTAAGAGATGTAACTTTTCTATATAATATCTAAAATTGAAAAATATGGGAGGATAAGGATGTTGGGTAGAAATATGGCGTGAAATACAAAAAGCATTTACAAGTATCTAGCCCAGTTACTGGTACCTAGTGAGTAGTTAGTAAACACTGGTAAATTCTAGATCTGAGTAACTGCAAAATATGGCTGATAACTCCATTTTTTTTTTAAATGCATGTAAACATATCTTGGTATCTCTCCACAAAGTTTTCATTAAAATACCAGTTTCTGTGGCACCTAGGTGACTCAGTTAAGTGTCCAACTCTTGGTTTCAGCTCAGGTCATGATGTCAGGGTCATGAGATGGAGCCCTGTGTTGGGCTCCGCGCTCAGCGGGGATTCTGCTTGAGATTCTCTCCCTCTCCCTCTGCCCCTCTTACTGCTTTTACTCCCACTTCCCCCAAAAATAAATTTAAAAAAATCTTTAAAAAAAACAAAAAATAAAAATAAATAAAATATCAGTTTCTGTTTGTGTACATTCAGTGTTTTCCCCCCGTTGCTTAGGATAGTATACTTTTATTCAGAGGCATACTTACTTTTATTGCATGTATAGGCATGTATGAGAATTTCTTTCAATTTATTTTGGTGTTTAGCTTATAATATTTTTAACCAAAATACTTTTTTTTTTTTAATGTAGGTATTATGGCTGCCTGTTTAGGAATTTGCTTTTACTTTGCTGTTTGCTTTATATGTATATTTTTAACTGTTAATTTGTTTTGTGTGCATTAAATATATAAGAATTCATTCCAATTTGTTTCAGTTTCAGAATGTATTGAAATATGTAGTATTAGTATTTGCTTTTATAATATATTATATGCAACATACCAGTTTTCTCTAAATTTGCTGTTTTGTTTTTTTTTTTGCTTACTATCTGCTGGTATTTATCAATGCCATTATATTTATTTTGAGCAATCTTTCACATCAACAAAAAACTTTTTCACGTAACATCACATTTTTAAATGACTTTCAATACATGAATTTGGAATATAAAATTGGGAATTGTTTTATATACATTCTTGTCTTACATTCTGGCAAAAATGAGAAACTCCTTGGATAGGTCTAAGAAATATCATAGCAAATTAAGGAGTACCGAATGTGCTAATAATTAAATATTTTAAAATACTACCAGATTTTTCATAATTAGTCTAAATACACTGCTATTTAGGCAGTTGTATAAAAATTGAGAAACTTTATAATTTAGATATGGTGTAAGAGTTTAATTGGAAGAATAACTCAGTGTTAATAAAATTTAAATATTTTATGAATAGAGCTTGATAGAATGGCCTCCTTAAAATTAAAATTAGTTCTTGGATAATCAAGAGATGCATTTACTATAATAGAGAAAAACAGAGAGATGGGTTGACATGAGTGTCTGTTTTTCTAAAAGAGATTGTACAACATTGAAACCATTTGTTCATCACCTAACTCTTAAAAAAAAAAAAAAAACCCTGTCATTTTTATATGAAACTAGAGGGGTTGTTGTTAATTCACAGTTTATATTCTACATACACACTTTAAATCTAATGGGTTTTTTTGTTTTTTTGTTTGTTTTTGGTTTTGTTTTGTTTTGAGAAAGAGCGAGCTTGGGGTGTATGGCAGAAGGGGCAGAGGTAGAGAGAGAAAATCTTAAGCAGGCTCCATGCCCAGCACAGAGCCTGACATGGGGCTCAATTTCATGACCCTGAATCAGGACCTGAACTGAAATCAGGAGTCAGATGCTTAACTGACTGAGCTACTCAGGTGCCCCTAAATCTAGATCAGTCTTTTAAATGAATTATACGCAGTTAAAGAATTGATTGTTTTAGCTTCTGTTTTGCAACCTGAAATATTCTTTGCTTTTAGTGGCATTGTTGGAAATAGTGCAACTACATTATTGACTACCATTGAAGAAATGCATTTGCTAAGCAAAAAAATATTCTTCAATTGCTTGAGTCTTCATGCAAGTAAATTAATGGACAAGGTATGTTTGAAAAATTCGATTCGTAAACTATGTGAGTGTGAATCTTTCACATTTAAAAATATTGTTTTACAGTTTTTACATTGGTGACGATTTTTTCCCATTCTGTACAATGTTCTCTTGAGTTCTTCCTCTGAACGACAAAATATATTTTGAGATGGGTTTACTGGATCTAGGTTTATAGGCTGGGTTCCTGGAACAGTATAACATTGAGTCATAATTGGAGATAGAATCTCAAGCCTTAGTTTCACTACCAGTTTTCTATAGAAAATTTGCTTTAATTTGTAATTAAAGCAAACTTACTATATTTAGGTCAGGGCTAAGATGACATACAGATTGGAAAACTGGAACTCTTACTAAATGTTTTTTTCTAAACAGCTTGCTTTATGTATTTACTCTCTGGTGGTCCAGTTTTATCCTTAAGAAATTTATGCTCCTTTGAGTAATATACTACAATTAATTATGAAAATAAGATAACAAAAAACTTCCCACAAAAAACAAACAACCACAACAAAAATCTGAAATAGTCCTGAGAGCTAATATTTTTCACTTGAGCAGTGTGTTGTGGCAAGACCTTAATGAATGGGTTTACAGTAAGCAAATCCTTCTTTATTTTTTTTAAAAGATTTTATTTATTTATTTGAGAAAGAGAGAAAGAAGCAGGAACGGGGGAGCAGAGGGAGAGGGAGAAGCAGGCTCCCCGCTGAGCAGGTAGCCCAATGTGGGCTCAATCCCAGGACCTTGTGATCATGACCTGAGCCGAAGGCAGATGCTTAACGACTGAGCCACCCAGGCGCCCCATCCTTCTTTATTTTTGTTTCATTAGGGACTCAAGGTCTTTTAAGGATGCATCACAATCACTGTACTGGGTTTTTGTTTTTGTTTTTCTTTTAATTATACCACTCAATCTAATAGCCTGGCTGTATTAGGCACAGATTTGTAATATAGTATAGAATAGTGAGTAGCATTCCAATCCAGAGTTTCCTGGTCCATTTTTATATCCTAAGCTCAGAGAAGCCTTAATAGGAATCTACTTTCTGACCCCCATGCACAATTCAAATTCTTTTGGAAAAGCAATATGAATTTATAGACCTGGACCTATTTAAATTTTTTCCTGTTATATGTATTTTTGTTTACACTGCGAGTTTACTAACAGTCAGTGCTGGTTTTGTATGTGTTTATGTGAGTTCTTATTTAAACAAAAATTTGAAAAATCATTCATGCGTACTTTGAACGTGAATAAACATGTGCTTGCTGATGAGATTATAGTGGCAAACAAGGTTGGTTAGCCTCACATTGCTTCCCTTTTAGTGGAGAATAGTTAAATTAATCAATGATTGCTATGGAATCACATATTTTATGAAAGATATGTGGCCAACGTGCTGTGCCAGCACAAAAGGAGGAGCTTTCCAGAGAGGGAGAAAGAAGAGTTGAACTTGAAAGGACGTGGGATTTAAATAGGTAGAAAAGGGGGTGGACAGAGGTCATCCTAAGTAGAGGAAACAAAAAGAATATGCAAGAACATAAGCTGTGAGTCACCAGTAAACAAATTTTTCATTTATTAAAAAAATCACTTGGAAAGTGGTATAGCATGTAGGTAGGAGAGAGACCAGGTTGCAGACAGAAAGATTAGGGGACTATCAAGGTAGTTTTTATGAAAATACATGATCAAAAGTAGAGATTCTAGGAACAGCCATGAAGGAACACATTCTTAAGGGGTAAAGGTAAACCTTAAAAATTTGGTAACTGATTGAATATGGGTACATGAGAGGCAGGAACCTAAAATAATTTCTATGTTACCAACCTGGGAATATCAATAGTAATCACAAGTATACAGAATATAGGAAGAGGGTAAAATTTACAGGATAAAGATGGTATGGCCCACGTTAGGTAGGATACCTTGAAATATCCCATTGTTACTTGTCTAATCTAGTTGGGAGCTGTACATTTGGGTTTAGAGAGTTTTACATGTAAAAGATAGTTGAATCCATGGATTTGGATGAGGTCACTAGAAGTCCATGTTTAATAAGAGTAGAGTTCACAGGACACACAGTCTTGGGAAACCCTAACATTTAAGAGAAGAAAGAAGCCCACCCATGGTAGGATGCTGAGGGAGGATGACATGAGAGGCAGGAGAAAAGTGAGGAAGTTTTATCAGAAAAGCCAAAAGAATGGAATTTCAAGAAGGAGGACATTGTTAATGACAGGTATTGTATAAAGAGTTCTAGTAAAACAAGGACAGCAGATTTGTTATCCTGGACAACATATAGATGATCCATGACTTACTGAGAACAATTTTAGCTGTGTGGTGAGGACAGGAGCAAGAGTGCAGTATGTGGAAAAGCATATGGATGTGCATATTACCCAAAGCTTCACCAGTCAGATAATATATGGACTAAAGACTGAAAATATAATATAGTAGGCATTCATATTATGAAATTTGAAAGAGAACAAAACACTATGGTAAAAGGAAAGATGGACTTAAATTTTTATGATCAATTAGAAGACAGGAAAAAATTGATTTTTTGAGAAGATCAACAAAATTGACAACCTTCTAGCAATGCTTTAACCAAAGAAAATTAAAAATTAGAATATCAGAAATAACCAGAGATAATTAAAATTTATTAGGAAATACCATATTAAAATACAGCAATTTTATGCTGAAATAATCTGTAAATCTGAATAAAAAGACTGATTTTAAAACAATATATATTGACAAAAAGAATGAAAAAGAAGTGGAATACTTGAATACACCTTGCAAGGGAAGAAAAACTATTAAAGAACATGCTGCTAGGCCTAGTTCAGGTTATACAGATAGTTTTTTCCCCCCCCTCAAACAGATAATTCTCCAGAATGTAGGAGAATATAGAAAACTTCCCAGTTCATTTTAGGTGTTTTAATGCTGACATAAAAGCCTTTTAAAGACAGTTATCACAAATCAGTCACTTCAAGTTAAAAAAAAATAAAAATAGTTAAAATACCATCAGGTCAAATCTAGCATTTTATTAAAACCAAGTATGGGTTCTTCTCAGAAATACAAGAATGTTTAAGTGTTAGAAATACATTAAATGTTTCAGTGTTAAATAAGAAAATTTTATATTAAATTGTTGAGTGGGGAATCTTAGTAAATAACAAAGTAAAAATACTTCCTTAACCATATGAAGATAAAATTAATAGCCCACATTATAATTAACACAGAAGCACTACCAATATATTCTCTTTAAGTCAAGAAAGAACAAGACAAGAATGTTTGCCAATAACATTTTTAAATAATAGAAACACCAGATTAAAAAATGAGAGATACAAGTATTTCAAAGGAGGCAACATTATTTATGGATGCTATGATTGTCTACTCAGAAAGCCAAGAGAATTAATTGAGAAGTTGTAAAACTTAGTAAATGGATTTAGAAAGTTATTTGATGACATGGTCAATATACAAAAATAAATTTTCAGGGAGGGTGACAAAGTTGAAAGCAGCAGTAATCTTATCTCCCCACCTAGACAAAAATTGCACTAGTAGAATCTGGCTAATGTCATTATTTTCTAACACTGGAGTCGAATGAAAGCTTGCAATGTTTAGGGGAAGGTTTGGACAGTAAATTGTGATCAATGTTGGTCAATTTCTACTTAGCAAACTAACAACTACCTGTCTTCCATGCCTGGTGCCATGCAGCAGGCAGCTGTGCACTTGTTCTTGGACCACCTTGCATACAGCTTTTTTTTTTTTAATTTTATTTTGTTATATTAATCACCATACATTACATCATTAGTTTTTGATGTAGTGTTCCATGACTCATTGTTTGCGTATAACACCCAGTGCTCCATTCAGTACATGCCCTCTTTAATACCCATCACAAGGCCAACCCATCCCCCCCACCACCTCCCCTCTAGAACCCTCAGTTTCTCAGAGTCCATAGTCTCTCATGGTTCGTCTCCCCCTCCAATTCTCCCCCCTTCCTTCTTCCCCTCCTGCTAGCTTCTTTTTTTCTAAACATCTAATGTATTACTTGTTTCAGAGGTACAGGTCTGTGATTCAACAGTCTTACACAATTCACAGCGCTCACCATAGCACATACCCTCTGCAATGTCTATCACCTAGCCACCCCATCCCTCCCACCCCCCACCACTCCAGCAACCCTCAGTTTGTTTCCTGAGATTAAGAATTTCTCGTATCAGTGAGGTCATATGATACATGTCTTTCTCTGATTGACTTATTTCGCTCAGCATAATACCCTCCAATTCCATCCACGTCATTGCAAATGGCAAGATCTCATTCCTTTTGATGGCTGCATAATATTTCATTGTGTGTGTGTGTGTGTGTGTGTGTCTCTCTCTCTATATATACCACATCTTCTTTATCCATTCTTCTGTTGATAGACATCTTGGCTCTTTCCATAGTTCAGCTATTGTGGACATTGCTGCTATAAACATTGGGGTGCATGTACCCCTTCAGATCACTACATTTGTATCTTTGGGGTAAATACCCAGTAGTGCAATTGCCGGGTCGTTGGGTAGCTCTATTTTCAACTTTCTGAGGAACCTCCATACTGTTTTCCAGAGTGGCTGCACCAGCTTGCATTCCCACCAACACTGTAGGAGGGTTCCCCTTTCTCCGCATCCTCGCCAACATCTGTCATTTCCTAACTTGTTAATTTTAGCCATTCTGACTGGTGTGAGGTGGCATCTCATTGAGGTTTTGATTTGGATTTCCCTGATGCCGAGTGATGTTGAGCACTTTTTCATGTGTCTGTTGGCCATTTGGATGTCTTCTTTGGAAAAATGTCTGTTCATGTCTTCTGCCCATTTCTTGATTGGATTCTTTGTTCTTTGGGTGTTGAGTTTGATAAGTTCTTTATAGATTTTTGGATACTAGTCCTTTATCTGATATGTCATTTGCAAATATCTTCTCCCATTCTGTCGGTTGTCTTTTGGTTTTGTTGACTGTTTCCTTTGCTGTGCAAAAGCTTTTTATCTTGATGAAGTCCCAGTAGTTCATTTTTGCC